TGGAAAAAGCTGATTGATTATAAGTGTATCCATAAGCTATTAAAACAGGATTTTTTGTATCTTGAACAGGAGCCCCATCATGATAAGCCAATTTAATCTGAAAAATACAATTATGATGTATAAATAATTATATTGAATTTATTATAATATAAATAATTATATACTTACGAATGCTGTGTATTTTAATCCCGGTTTATAATACTCAGATGTTTTTATTAATTCCATAGTATATTTATGTTTATGCAACGTTATCTCGACTGAAACGTTCTGCCTTCTACCAGTTAATTCTTCTTCAACTGTAGCTTCAATTCTAATAGGCCTTTCGTTCTCATCTGTAAGTCTATATTATCAAATAATATAAAAAAACATTTATTAACATACATAAAATATTTATTTTAAACATTTATAACATTTCTCTTTTAATATACCTGAGTTCAGTAATAATATCAAAGTCAACAGTAACTTTTCCATCAATGGGTACTATTTTTCTGACAGGTTGTTGGAAAATTGGTTGAATAACTCCTGAGAAAATATTTGGGAAAGCTGTTATAGTAGCTTCTCCTTTGACAGGCTTTCCATAAGTATATCTAAAGAATATATATATATATATATATATAATATAATATGTAATTGATCTTTTAATTCATTCATTTAATTTGTTTATTATATGCAATATTTAATTCCTTACTTTGCGCGAACCGTAGCGGTAATCTTTGATTCTTTAAAAGTAGAATGTTTAGGCGCATCTATAGTTACTTCAAATTTAGGAAGCACATACTCGGCGACTTCAAATTCTTTATCAAACATTTGATCATTGACATTAACCACAATCTTCCAAGTCCCTAAAACTGGAGACATAGATAATTCAAGCTCGCCGCTAAAAACTCCACGCGTTATTTGCGGGCGTTCCCATTGTTTAATGCGATTATTAGCTCCATCCTATTACAATTATTAAAACAATGTAATTAAAACATTTCATTATATAATTATTTTCATTTATTAATAAGTATACCTACTGTGATATGAATATCAACTTGACGTGTAAGACTTGGTCTCAATCTAGAATCTAATATAAGACAACGGAACATAACTTTATTTCCAGGCTTGTATATCGCCCGATCTGTTTGTATGAAAACAGAATAACTTTTATGGACATATTGTAATTCGGTAGAATTAGAAAATTGAATGCCGGTCAGGCCACGTGCAAAAAGTGTGTAGTGTCCTGGAGAAGTATCTCCAATCTATAAACATAAGAATAAACAATTAAAATAATCAATAATACCTTATACAGTATGTCTTTTAGGAAAATTATAATTCTTAATTATACCTCTAATCTGACAATTCTTGTAGAATATGGTTCTACGGTAACAGTTTGAGATACATTGAAATGATCTCCATTGTCAAGATTACCAGACAATTCAATATAAACATTTGAAGGTGTTGAGACACCAATGGTGCTTACGGTAACATGGTATTCTGAATCAGGGCGTACAATCTTTGGTGCAATGATAGCATAATACCTTAAAAAAAAAACATAAAATATTAACATTGTATATAAGCATAGAACGATAAAGTAAGAGAGAGTCATAGTATGTAAATTTTATTAAATAACCTGTTGCTTTCTTACCGACCAAACTATAAACATTAACTTACGGTTTCTTTTTTTGATTATGCGAATCCAAATAGGAGAAAGTAGTATACATAAAATAGGTTGAGACTACCGCAATAAATATATACAGAATGTAAAAAGAAAGATTGGTTAACTTAGAATTTAATTTATAATACATTATTTTATTTTCAGACATAATATATTAACTAAGAAAATATAATGAAAAATATGAGTAATATTCGATAGATATTACTTTTGTTATGACATTGAACTATTATCAATTAGAAATCTACGTAAATAGTCACGAAAACATAGATATATATATATATATATTTAATACTGCGTATGACAGATTAACGAAAATGGCGTTGATGGGATTCCCGCCAGTATTCGTTGGGATTTCCCCTTTTTAAAAATTGTTATTCTTACGGTTCAGCTATCGCATTGGTCACTATTCCAAATAGAAATAAGCTGCATAAACAAAACCAATCCATTATATTATTGAAATATTTCACATCTGAAACACACACATAAAACAATTTATATTAATTATAATTATTACAGATATTAATTATAGTTGTGTATACTTCGCTTAAAAAAATAATATATATATATATACACAATGTATATAATAGTATAGAAAATTATTCGTTATGTCATATTTCAAGATAATCAGTTATGATCATGCACTCACACACGTAATGCATGTGATAACATGCATTCATGAATACATAAATCTGACAATTATTTTATTTCTATTTTTTTTTTTCAATTATCTCTCATTATTACGAGATTGAATATTTCCAAGAATGATTGCATAATGTTTATACGTTCCGAAATAAACTTCAATATATCATGATCATAAATAATTAATGAATAATATTTCTAATATTAACAATGTGATTTACGTGATTAGACGTTGAACGCAAAATGTTTTTTATAGCGATAAAAAACACAATTAATTATTTAAATAATTTAAGTAATCTACATTAGTATTTTGCAATTAGGAAGTAACGAGTTTTCCAATGCTAAAAAGAAACATAATAAAATAGAAAACCGCTGTCTATCGTGTGACACTTTCGTTGGTGTCCAGTATGACATTTCAGAATACGCGCTTTCCCATGCATATGTATACAAACCACATATTACATAGAAAAAAAAGAGAGAAAGCAAGAAAGCTTATATACCAAATTAAATTATAAACGTAATTTATTATCCGAATAAATTGTTGTCTACTTGTCCCCCTCGATAGTTTCTAAACACAACAATAAATGTTTTTATTAAAATTGTCTATTTTTAATACAATCTTCTTAATTATTAATTAAATAAATATTATAAAAATAATATTTTATCCATTAATTTACAAAGAAATAATAATAAATAACAATAAAAATAGAAAATACACTGAAAATTTTCGGACAAAAAGGAAAAGTAGCTCAATCAAACAACTTGTTACTCTGATAATCAAATAAAAACAAATATTAATTATAATTACCACTTCGTTATGAACATTATTATCACAAGAATCATTTGAATGAGTTCTAAAGAAAAAAAGAAATAAAATAATCTAGAATTTTCTAAAATCAGGTTACAACAACAAGAGTTTAGCTTCACGCAAGACTACCAAAGACCCAGTTTATACCATCGAGATCATTCCCGGCGCTGAACCATGAATCCTTTCAGAGGACGTCATTTCGTTTTAAATAAATAGAATGACTCACCAGCCGTCGATGTAGTGTCTTTAAGAACGCCACCTTTATAAAAGGTGTTATAGGTATGCTACCGATCTTAGGATTCTTCGACTTATTTTCTATACAATTTGTAATAATATATCGATATTAAAATATGTTTGATCACAAAGTTTGAAATAAGAATGAAAAGATATAGATATATATTTTCAAGAGCAAATGACAACAATATTTTTCAAGTCATTTGGTTCAATTGCCATCTCAAACGACGGCTGAATGTATACTGACGGACACTACCAATCATGGACGTAAGAAACCGGACGATCTGGCTTTCCCTTCCATTTCTTTCTCTCTCTTTCTCTCTTTTTATTATTTGTCTGTCTTTCATTATTTCTCTCTCTCTCTTTTTGTTCCTATCTCTCTTCGTATTTCTCACTCTTTCCTCTTTCAACAGCCAAGTCTTTACCGTTAGAGAAAGAACGACTGAGTCCACACCATCATCATCATCATCATCATCATCATCATCATCATCATCATCATCATCATTGCACTTAAGTTTCTTGTATTTTCCCATTATATGCTATTGCTATTTTAACAAAAGAGATAATGTAAGTTATTAAATCAATGATTTATTTACCTTTCCTTAATTTCGAACTTACGTCATTGATAATTATTCATTTCGGAGAATACCTTTGTCGGTGAAGTAGGCTGATGCTGCGCATCTGCATCCACAAATGAAGGTCATCCTCGTCCTCCTCATCTTCCTCCTCTTATCCATTATTTTTCTGTATAAAACACGTTTTTAAGACGTCAATGAGTTTCCCATTTCTAAAATTTTATTTTTATTTTTCATCTTCGTTGAATTAAAAAAAGGATGCGGTTCCTGGAAAAAATAATTTAATTATTTCATTATTTATAAATTTTTTTGTTATATAGAAAAGATTTTAATTAATTATACAAACTGTTTGAGAAAAGAACATCGGTTATTTTATTATTTAAAATATCCGATATTTAAATATAAAAATATACTGCAAAATAACAAACATGGATGACATGATTTTTATGGTGATTTTAATGCATGTATATGCGTTTATTCGAATCACTAAATTTAAACGAATGCATTTACATTTGCATAGATTGATATATATATATATCGATTATTATTATTCAATTAAATAAGAACACGACTTTTAGGAAACATGCAAAAATATGCAACAATCGTTACAATAATACTTGCGTTACATAGTTTACAATTAAATTTCGATATAGCGCAAGTATTATCGACCCAGGTCTCGTCACATAGAAGTTACTGCATAAGAGATCGAAAAAATAAATATTTAATTATCATTTAAATTCTAATTAATTCTAATTAGCAATAAGAACAAATTTACAATAACTTCGAGATATACGCGAATCGAGATATTGAATTTAAGATTATTTAATAATTATACCGTTTATTTTATGCGATCTAATTTTGTAAACAAATGTATTACTGTTTTAATAATAATACACTTTTATTTACATTTATGTGTATACATATTATTTATGCACTATAATATCTTTAGAGAGAGTTCTTTTTATTAAATTATATTCTCTAAATTTTGTATTTATTAATTAATACTATTTATTTTTTTTTTAAACGATAAATATAAATCTTGCAATATATATATGATCTATAGAAAATGGAGGGGATTGTCCCCACCGTAAGTGTACGAACACACACTAACACATTCATTCAGTTGTATAATGTACTACTTCGTAGTATGTTTTTTAAAGTGAATAATTTACTTCAAGTAATAATTATTATAAAAGATTACAATTAATTAAATCTAAAATGGCAATAAATGGTAGAGATTTGGCATTATCTATGCTAAGAAGTTTACCTCGTGTAGGATTGTCAAATATTCGACCTAACCCCGGTTCAAAAAAGGCTGTAAGAAATGTTTTGTTATCTTAATTTAATATTAATTACTATCTATATTAGATTTCATAAAATTAATAATTTTACGATTTTAAATATTTTTTATGTTATTATTAAATTCAAATATATCTTAAATATATTAATGACTACTTTACATAACCTTAAAAATTGTTTATTACATTGTTGAAATTTTATGAAGTTATATATTATGTTTAGTCAAAAAGAGGTAGGGGTCAACACGGAGGAGATAAACATGGTGCAGGAAACAAAGGTTCTGGTCAAAGACAAAATTATATGAGACCTGGATATGAAACCGGGAATACTCCATTTTATCTTAGATTTCAAAAAGAGCCTTATTATAAAGGACATCAGTAAGTAGAATGTTGATTGTTATCACAAATGTATAACATGTATAACATATCTCAATAGAAATTAGTGTATCACAAATATGTGACATTAATAGTGAATGCATTAAGATTTATTTTAATTGACAATTTATATTTAAAACGATGAGAATTATGCGTTTGTTTGTGGTTACAGCTTAAGAAGACAATATCCACCACTTTCTTTGAAACAGCTACAAATGTTCATAGATACTAATAGGATAGACATCAGTAAACCAATCGACTTAGCAACTTTAATAAATACAGGATTATATAACTTTAAAATTGATTGGAAACACGCTGGAGTACATTTAACGGATGAGGTAATCAAAGTTATTATTATATTAGCGCATTAAGCATAGAGTCTCTTTTGCTTACATGGCCTGAACGAAAAGTATACTGTCGGTCACTAGTAATTGACTTGACACTTAACGTATTCAGAAAAATTATTACTATTTGAAGGAGGGAAATATTAAAAAGCGTACTTTTTTAAGGGCTCAAATATATTCAAGGCAAAAGTCAACATAGAAGTGCAGTGGGCTAACGAACCTGTGATTGCAGCAATTGAACGAAATGGCGGCGTTATCACTACAGCTTATTACGATCCAAATTGTTTATTCGCTTTAAATGATACTGAAAAATTCCTTCGCAAAGGTATAATTGCTCTTAATTGTTCAATTTTATTTTTCTTTTTTTTATGGCTATATAGCTCTTTATATGTAATATAAAAAATTGAAAACATCTATTTTTTACTTATATATATTATTTTAATAATATTGTTTGATAATAAAATATTTACTTAATTTATAGGTGATCCAATACCACGTAGATTATTACCACCTGCTGATTGTTTAGAATATTATTCGAGTGCTGCAACAAGAGGATATTTAGCGGATCCTGAAAAAATTTCTCAAGAACGTTTAATATTGTCGCAAAAATATGGTTACGTGCTTCCAAAAATTGAAGATGATCCAGACTACAAAATGTTGACCGAACGTAAAGATCCACGACAATTATTTTATGGTCTTGAACCAGGTTGGGTTATTAGTCTTGTGGATAAAGTAATTCTCAAACCAAAGGCAGAATATTTGAAAGAATTTTATGCTAGTTAAAATATTATATATTTAATGATTATAAAAACACCTTAAACTTTATATTAAATCATTTAAAATATATACGTGTATGTATATATATATAGATATATAAAAGAAACTATATATACTCTTTGCATTTTTTACCAAATTATTTCAAAGTTAATCCTTCCCAAAGTTTATCTTTTTTCATAACATTTATAATTAAATCTTGAGAAACGGACCATAATCTGCTTGCCAATGCAGAATCTACTGCAGCAGTCGAAGGATCGCAACGATAACAATTATTAAAATAAAGTCCCGTCGCTCCTTCTAATTCTGGTGCAGTTGCACAAAATATTGTTGTGCTTGCCGCTTGTTGCTAAATCAAAAACAAAAAAAAACAAAAAATGTATGAATTAATATGTAATCTATTTCAATTAGCAATCTCTTTGATTCAATAAAAAATTGTGAATATACCAGTGATTTGGTGAAAGGTCTCACTATGGCAAATAATAGTCGGAATATCCAGGAATAACGAGATAAAGATGAAGAAACCATATTACCAGGATGACAACTGAATACACTTACTGCAGGCCATTGCTTAGATAATTCTTGAGCAAATAATATATTATAAAGTTTAGAATCGTTGTACGCACTCATTGACCAATAATGATATTTAGGCGGGGATAAAGTTAATGGATGAATATCTTCTACATGTTGTATAGAAGAAAATCTATAAGTTAAAAATAATATTTATTATATAAACAAAAAATTCTAACGTATCTAATCTATTAATATTACCTATGTGATTCACTGGAAACTATTACTATTCTTGCATTGTGACAACTACGAATGGGATGCTCCAACAAAAGTGTAAAATAAAAATGTGAAAGATGATTAACTTGGAATGTTGTTTCATAACCATCTTTTGTAAGTTCGTAAGGAATCGCTAATACACCGGCATTCAATATTAGAATATGAAGAGTTCTAAAAATGTTATATTAATTAAAATAATATTATAACATTTATACATTTATTTAATAAAATATTACCTATATTTTTGTTTGAACTTTTCTGCGGCATTACGTACGCTTTGCAACGATCCTAAATCTAACTCCAATACTTCACAATTAACATTTTCTTTTTCTTGTTTGATTCTTTTCACTGCCTCTTCGCCTGCCTTAACATTTCTACAAGCAAGTATAACATGACAGCCATGTAAAGCTAATGATCTAGCTGTTTCAAAACCTAAAAATTAAGGAATATTTACTACTTCACACATAAACAAAAATAAAATAACAAACATATTTATAAATATACATAAATTACCTATACCCGTATTAGCACCAGTGATAAGTGCTAATTTATTACGTAAATCACGACCGTATAAAACAGAAAGGGCTGTACTACTTCCATCGAACCTTTGTCGTACTGGTTGTGAGCTTTCCCTGTATTCGGTGGCAAAAGCTAATCGAGGATCAGTGTAAGTAGTAGTACGATTCATATGATCAACGAAGAGAACTTTACCATCGTCAGAAATACATCTTTCCCATCCAGAAGGTAATTCTAGAAAAAAAGTGATAATACATTAATCTGTTTTATTACTTAAAATAAATGAATTTAATTCTGTATAATATTAAATATAATAAATACCTCCTTCTACGATTTTCTTGCGTTCAGTTCTAGGATGCGTCCATTGTGTACCTTTTGTATAATGACTACAAAAAACATTAATTATTTTGAATGTTAATTAAAATGTATGAAATTAATGAACTAACTCAAAAAATGCTAATATTAAAAAGTAATATTAATAATAAATCAAAAAATATTTACTTGACATAATAAACATTTCCATCAATAGTAGCTCTTTCTTCCCACCCAGGAGGTAATTCGTCCTCGCTATCAGAATCATTAAGAACATTTACCATTTTGATATTACACAGCAAATTTCTTATTATCAATTAAAATAACAAATTTTTCCTCATCAGACGCTAGGGAAATTTGTATTATAAAATTTAGCGGGTTGTCAAACTTTTTAGCCGCCATATTTAAATAACTATATGACATTTGATCAAAAAATAACCAATCATTAATGCTGATCTTTAAAAAACAACATTATTACATTAAAAATATAAATTAAATAATAATCAATTATTGTACAGTCAATAATATACAACAATACAATTTTCCCAATCAAAGGTTTGAATATTGAAAATTTAAATGAATCGGAGAATTACATTTTTTTGTTTAAAGTTAGACTAATTCATAAATTCCGTATTTGTATGAAATTGTAGTAATTCAAATATGTGTAATGAATGAATATAACGAAAATAATGTTGCATTACAAATGTATTTGCGTTTATTTTTTTTAACAGGAAATTTAAAGACCCAATCATACATTTATTTTTGTTTCTGTTTGAAGATAACTTCTCTCTTGTTCATATAGATGATGACAAATACATATACATATAATACACGCCACACGACACATATATGTGTGCTAAAGTAAATGCGCAACTTAGCCTTTTCTTAGAAGAAACCTCCGAGTATAAGATTCTACTAACTTTTATTGACATATTTAGATTAATCGACGATTTTAGGTAATGAATCATTAAATTTCATTAAGATGGAGTTTATATCCTTGATGAATTTTCTCTTAAATATTCAATATACAATTGGGGATAGAAAATCATAAAATGGTAAGTGTCAATTTAATATCAGTTTAAAGAATATATATAATATTAAACTGATAATAAAATTTTTCTTTTCTATTTCACATTATTTGACTTGAATTTCTTATTTAATTGTTACATTAATCAAATTGTAACATTAATTAAATTTACCTCTCGTGCTATGTTAATTCTTTTTAATTTTTAATAAATATGTATAATAGAATTTATGCTATTTAGATAGCAATGTAAATATTTTGAAAGCTTGTGACAGTTAAGATTTTTCATGTCGCTTGTTGTACTATTTGTAATTATATTATTTGTTATTATTTAAATTATATATATTTCTGTCTTTATATTACTTGTTTGATATTTATTTATGTAAAATGTTGTTTTAGGGTGCAAACATATCACAATTAGAAAGAGATATCGGCTCTGATCAGTTTCCACCAAATGAACATTATTTTGGTTTAGTTAATGTAAGTAAAAGTTATCCCAATAAAATTTCAATATCGTTGTCAATACATATCTTAAGGTATCGATTATATAAAAATTATTTCTTTCTAGTTTGGTAATACTTGCTACAGTAATTCGGTATTGCAAGCTTTATATTTCTGTAGGCCGTTTAGAGAAAAAGTTTTAGAATATAAAGCTAGAAATAAGAGAACCAAGGAGACGTTATTAACATGTTTAGCTGATCTATTTCATAATATTGCAACGCAAAAGAAAAAAGTTGGTTCCATTGCCCCTAAAAAATTTATCGCTAGGTTAAGAAAAGAAAAAGGTTTGTTATTTTATCTTTTCATTTCATGTTAGACTAAATTAATTATTAAAATTATTTTCTTTTTTTTCCAGAGGAATTTGATAATTATATGCAACAAGATGCCCACGAATTTTTAAACTTTCTTATTAATCATATAAATGAGATTATTCTGGGTAAGTATTTCAATTATATTATTTGTTTGTGTTCTTAGCAAAATATATTTATATATACTTCTTATTTTTAGCAGAAAGAAGTCAAACCAAACAGACAGGGGGAAAGGGTGCGGGCGATGCTGGGTCTCCACCAGAACCAACATGGGTCCACGAGATATTTCAAGGGATATTGACTTCTGAAACGCGCTGCCTTAATTGTGAGACTGTTTCTAGCAAAGATGAGGATTTTTTTGATCTGCAAGTTGACGTAGACCAAAATACTTCTATAACATACTGCCTGCGCTGCTTCTCTAATACAGAAACACTTTGTAGCGATAATAAATTTAAATGCGATCATTGTAGTAGCTATCAGGAAGCTCAGGTATACTTTTGATCTAATATTTTCTTATCACTTAAAAAAGTTTTATATTAAATTAGATAGTCATTGATCAAAATTAAAATTATTTAAATAAATTAATATATTATTTTTTTGCTTTGTCCTTTAGAAACGAATGAGAGTTAAGAAACTTCCCATGATCTTAGCATTACATTTGAAAAGATTTAAATACGTGGAACAGTATAACCGACACATTAAAGTATCTCACAGGGTAGTTTTTCCATTGGAATTGCGGCTTTTTAACACTGTAAATATCACCAAGAATTTATTATATGTACTATTTTTCTCTATCTATGAATAATTCATAAAAACAAAATTTATTTTGTTGCAGAGCGATGATGCTGTCAATCCTGATCGCTTATATGATTTAGTTGCGGTTGTGATACATTGTGGAAGTGGTCCGAACAGAGGCCATTATATTTCTATAGTCAAAAGTCATGGATTTTGGCTGCTTTTTGACGACGACATGGTTGATGTAAGACGTACATTTATACACAAAAATTATTTTGATATCTTAAATATTTTAATTAAAAAAAAGGGGAAAATAACTTTATTAATTGAATATTATTTTTCAGAAAATTGATGCGTCAACTATAGAAGATTTCTATGGGCTCACGTCAGATATACAAAAGAGTTCAGAAACTGGATATATTTTGTTTTATCAATCAAGGGATTGTAGTTAAAGATTATTCAACATAAGAAAAAAAGAAAAGAATTTAAATTATGTTAAAAAAATAGTCATTATCATTTAAAATTATTGCAACTCTCTAAATTAATTTCTACAACGTTCTAATTGTACAGTCGAAAAAAAGAGAGAAAGATTTTATTTTTTAAATTTAATTATGTATATGAATCTTTTTTCATTTCTGTTAAAACAAAATTTCCAACGCTTACATATTTAATCTAAGAATTAGTTTTCTATATAAACAAGAAAACAAAAAGAAAGAAAAAACAAAGAAACGTTTATTATTTGTTATATGAATGTTATTATACTATGTTATCTGAGAAGAAGTATTAACTAATCTTATAAAAAATATAAGTGAGAATTAAAGAACTTTATGAGCATAAACTGAATTTATTCATTCTTATGAACCCATTCGCTACCTATTTCATATATTTGCAATGTGCAAATTTCTATTGAAATTAGAATAAAAAAAATGATTTACATCTATAAGGAGTATGAAAAAATAAAGATGATTAGTACTTTAAAAGATGTTTATTGCAACACTTAAGCAATAAACTCATAAGGAATAGGTGCTAATAAGATGGGTGCCTCACGTCCTGAGACAATATGAGCTTTTGATGGTTCGGCTGGTTGTCTTTTAAGTTGAACTTGGACTTTGTTTTCTTTGGCTTCTTTCCTAAGCCTTTCATTTTCCTTAACACGTTTAAGGAAATCTTCTCTACATTTGGAATGAGTAAGATGTTCAATGCGTACATTGATACGCTTGGCAATGATGCGTCCACGCACCCTCTTATTAACAATAACTCCAAGTGCATGAGGTGTTACATTGAATACGCGTCCTGTCTTGCCATGATAAACCTTGTACGGCATACCCTTCTGAACTGCTCCGTTACCTTTGATGTCAACTATGTCACCAACTTTATAGACTTTCATGTACGTCGACAGAGGAATAGTTCCATGTTTGCGGAATTTGCGGGAAAATAAATCCCGAGTACCACGACGATAACCTTTTGAATTAGTCATGGTTTAAGACTGAAAAAAATGTTTTATAATTATATTATATAGTTTTATATCTATTTTATATTTCTTGCGTGTTACAAAATGTAGCTGCTTCATATTCAACATAAAACTTTTTATATGACTGAATTATACCTTTATACGAAGTACCATAAACGATTATAAGAAATAATTAACTTATAAAAATTTAAACGATAAAAATATTATATTAAAAGTTATGCATAAATGTTCGCTATTACAAGTTTCGTCAAAACACGTGGTCACTTTGTAAAAGTCGACAGATTATCTGCATTTCGATATTTCCAATAAAAATATGTACTATGCAACATGCAATAGGAAAGATATTTTATTTTTTGCATAAATTTTATTAATATATCAATATAATTAAAATATTAAATTATTATATTCTAATACTAACCTGTACAGACACAATTAATGGCTGACTCAATAAAGAAAGAGAAATTGTAAAAATTTTAATTTAAAGATGGCGTAGAACGCACTAACGCTCCCTACATCTTCATTTTATAATGGATAACCTATTAGAAGTAAATACTTCCCTTTCGACCAATCACGATTCTCAAATCATTATTGCTAAAACTCATCTTAGATTGGATGAGTTGAGATGTATGTATATTCTTTCCAACCAATCACAACTCTCGAATTATCATAGTTAAATCCGGATTGCCTAAAACGCGTGCATTTTTGACCAATTGCAATTGTGAAATTTGTTAGCGCTTAAAATGAAAATCTTCAAAATCTATACAATGCTAACAATATAAAAATTTTAAAAATGAAAAAAAGCTTGGCTAGCCTGTAGACAGTCCGCGCTATTTGTAATTTTTCACGTGGTTATTCTAACCTAATTAATAATTATTTTTAAAATACATACAGTAGTATTGTATGTATTGTATATTCATTAATAGTTAAATAATGAATTATAAAGATGACTTTGACGTTTTTGTGGGTGGCAAATCTGGAGTATTTAAAGGTTGACATTAACGCAATGCCTTTCAATTAAATTAAAAATTATTCTTTTCAATTAAATTGTTTCTAAAATATAAAATTAATTCATTTTAGGAATTAAAATTGGACAGAAGGAATGTGTGCAGAAAAATTTAAAAAGTTTTGTATCAATTGGTTATAATGATGAGATTACAACAGCGAATTGGGGTGATGATGAAGAACGAGATATACTTATAGCTTATGGTACAAAAGAAACAAGAAGGTATTGAATACATTACATTAAAAAATTATCTCTTTTTTAACTGACACTAATAAATATGTTTAATATGTTTTAGTGTTAGTATTTATGATACCGAAAACATGTCATTTAAAAGCACATTCGTTTGCGATGTTGGCAAAGGAAGTATAAATAGCATATCGAACTACAATGGGTAAATAATTACGATTATTTTTATAATACTTATTATGTTCTCATTATAAATATTACCCTTAAATTATCAAATACGTATTCAACATTTATTAGATCAATTTTGACTGCAGTTCATTCTGGCGAGATAAAAATATGGAATTTTAATGATCAAGATAAAGTAATATTAAATGCCGGTGATAATTTACATAGAATGCGTCATTCTAATATAAATAAGAAAATAATAGCAACCGGTGGCAAAGAAAATGGATTAAAATTATTTGATTTGGAGAAGCAAAAGCAATTTTTTTATGAGAAGAATATGCCTCATGACTTCTTAAACCTGAGAGTACCTATTTGGATTTCAGACATTGCTTTTCTTCACGACTCGCATAGAGTAGTCACTGTTAGCAGATTTGGACATGTATGACTTTTTAATTTCTATGAATATTTCTTGCTCTAAGTTAAATACTTATATAAATTTATAAATTATATTTTAGGTACGTTTGTATGATCCTGACGCGCAAAGGAGACCAGTTTTAAATTTAGAAATAAAAGATGAACCCTTGACTGCTGTTACTGTACCTTATAAAGAAATGTAAGAATTTTTATAATACATTAGCATATATATATATATGTGTATACAAAGTTATTATTATTTTATAATATATATATATATATTTACATTACCATAGGCAAGTCATGGTAGGCTCAGGTAAAGGAATGATGAAACTTATTGATTTACGTAAACCTGGGAAGATACTCCATACTTATAAGGGCCTGGTTGGTAGCATAACTGGATTAGCTTCTAGTAAAGCTGGACCGTACGTAGTCAGCACTTCTATGGATAGATATTTGAGAGTGCATCATATCGACACAAGACAAATGCTTAAAAAGGTAATTTCATAAATATAAATGAATGTAAAGATATTATGAGTGTATATAAGCATACATCATTCTGTGTTAAATATTATTTTGTTCTTATAGGTTTATCTGACTTCAAAATTAACATGTTTAGTATTGAGATCAGCATTTTCTCCAGAAACACAGATTGACAATTCTAATAAAGTTCAAAATAATAATGGCATTAATAATAATGATAACGAAGTTATCGATTTAGATAATAAATCAGAAGATTTAAATGGCGATGAAGAATACGATGCATTGTTTAATAAAATGGAAGTTATTACATCTAAACAGAATAAAACAACAAACTTGTGTTACAAAGGAAAGAAACGTACTAAAAGTGCTTCTTCCATAAATCATCCAGTAAGTAATTTTCTATTATTATATATAGAAGGTATTCATGGTGTTGCTCACCCTCTATATGTAGTTTTAATATGCTTATTATTTATACAAATGTTTTTGAAAATTCTTACATATTTAATTTGTTAATATTTACTTTTATAGAAGGAGTCGAAAAGCTTTAGGATAGTGGAACCTCCAAATACTATTGTAAAAAGTAAAAAACTAAAGAAAAAAATAAGTTAATATTCAAAATAATAAATAATAAATTGTATATAATCGTTCAAAATTATTGAATCTATAAATGCACTTTTATACATTATAAATACGTTTCCTCATTCTTTTTAATTTACAAGGATTGGAAATTTAGATAAGAATAAAAGTAAACGATATAAATATTATATATATATATATATATATATATATATATCATGGTATATTCTATCGCTGAGCACTTTTTGCATTTTATAAGTTACATGTGTGTGAGAGAGCCAAGGATCATGCGCTAATCACTTTGCTCAGGTTACATAGTATTTTAAGATGCAATCACGATAACTAACTACAACATAAGTTTTTTTTTGTGGTGTATCATACAATTCATTATTAATATCTCAATAAATTACATTTTGGTTTTTTTTTTGCAATGCAAGTACTGCCACGTCCAAAATCTTCATCTTCATTTATTTTCATAATGTTTCTTTTACCGAATTAGATCTAATTTATTTTCCTTTTATTTATCCATAATATAAATTTGTTGCTTCTCGCTTTCAAAGTAAAATATTATAGCGAATTTAAAAAAATTATGATACAATATAATATAATATATATGCAAATCAAACTCTCGCTCTCTCTCTCTCTCTCTCTCTCTCTCTCTCTCTCTCACTCTTCTCGCTCTTTCTTTCTAATTGAATTTTTATTTCATATATATATAGAGGTTTTTTTATGAAAAGCGCGAACGTGACTGCTTGCAAATTTGCAGTAGTATATATTTTGTACTAAAGAGATTTAGATTAACTACTACGGCATGTTTAAAACTACGCGGATGTATAGTTTGTTTCTCATGTACAAAAAACTCCATCATCATCGTTATCATCAATCCGTTCTCTTATTATTTTTATCGCAATATTTCAATTGTATTTGCTTTATCTCTTTCTCTCTCTATCTCTCAAATTTTCTTCTTTTTCAAAATGCTGTTATTGTTGCTGTTATTATTAATGGAATATTTGATCTTACATGGATAAACATATACAGGAATATAATTTCACTAAATTATAGGCACTGGCTCTTCACTATCAATTATAGCGACTTCTTTAACCATTACTTTAAATAGATAAAAAGAGGAACGTTAGTGCCAAAAATAGAAATGAATATTAACAAACAGGCCATTTATGTACATGATTCTTCTTTTTTTTTCTTCATTTTAAGTGTTTTACGCATATGTACAAATGTTTTTTTCTTTCGATAAAAGGCTCTCTCTACGTACAATTATTATTTAGCGTTTTTTTTTTTATTTTTGCGTTTGCTTTTATATTATAGATTAATTAAAAATGAAAATAATGCCTTTTCCAAAAGAATACATTTTTGTTTTACACAAAATTAATCATTAACGAGTTTTTTAATTTTTTTCCCCCTTTCTTTTTCTCTCTTAGTATATATTAGTACATTTAACAAATTTCATTTTTTTTTAATGCGTCGTGTTAGCATCTATAATAATATGTGCCTAGAATTTAATTCAACAAGATCTCTACGTACATATTTTTATTTCAAGAGAATTCTTCATCTATATAATAAGATTTTTTAAATATTTAGAACACTATTTATTTTTTTCTTATTAGAGATAAATGTTTTGAAGGAGATAATTGATTTTATAAATATTTCACAGAATTATGTGTTTGGGTCGTTAATCTTTTTAATAAAGAATAATTTATAGAATAAAAAAAATTTATGTTACAAAAACGAAAAATTTTGTCATGAAGCCAAATAATATAACAATAAAAATAATAATAATAAAACTCAAGTTAAGTTTGCGTCTCTCATATGTTCCAGTATTTAATAATATATTACTCACCTAGGTAGGTAAAGTAAGAAATGTCTCAGAGTACATGTAATTGTTGGCCGAGGCGAAGCCGAGGTTAACAAACATGTGCTCTGAGGCTTTCTTATTTACTGCCCATGGTGAGTATACATTTTTTCTGCTCGACGTAGGCGGAAAGCGGCAACTTCGTTTTGAACAGTGAGAGAAAAGTAGACGCTTTTCGCCCAGAGGGAAGAAAAGTATATTAAATATTAAAAGTACCATTAATGAAGCAAATCAATGATTAACAATACTTTTTAAAAAACTGTACGATGAATATGGTCAACATGAGTACGAATTAAAAAAGAAAATAAACTACAAGGAAAAAAAAAATCATATTGGTCAGAAATGTCTGAAATAATGATTTCAAAATTATGTTTACATATTATCACTATACTCTTATTATATACTTTTGTTACTTTTTTGTTTTTATATTAAAAAAAAAAAAAAATAATTATAAGCAAGTAGAGGTCGCTGTGTATATGTGTATATATATAGAATAATAATAATGTTATTAATAATAATAAAAGAAATTTCCTATTAATTTATAAAATACATACAAGGTAATTCGAAGAAGCAGTGGCAATACGAAGATAATAATAATAATACAAATAATAATAAATTATAATGTATACTTTTCTTTTTAATACAGTTATAAGAGAATGATTTTCGGCGTTGATGCTTACATTCTTCTTATTATCTCTTGCGTTGTTTTTATTAAGTTTATATAATATACGTAGAGTCAACTGTGACTCTCAATTCTTGCATATATGTTTCATAACGAACATGAAGCTTCTCTCGTTATAATTCAAATCAATTTTACCGGCCAATAAAAATTACAAAATTTTTATATCATTTGCTGACAATATACCTTTATATTGTTTTTTTAATAGCATTACGCGTTATACAATATATCGCTATTGCCTATTTAATTAGATTATTTAAAAAACTGTTCATAAACCTATGAAATTGTTAGCTTTAATAAGTCAATTAATGACAATAAACGTCTTAAAAGTGAGCGCCCATGTTCGTTTAATGTTATTATATTCTCATTGATATTAATTTGCTTCTGGCATTTATTATAGAAGCTTCTGAAAGAATAAGAAATTAAAAAAGAAATTTGAATAATGGTTCTTTTTTTCTTTCTGCGAAAGAATATAAAGTTTAAGAAAAAGCGAAATAAAGTATAGATGATAATTATGGCTTATTTCACTACTCGTTTTATCACAATGCTTGTAAAACATCCCTAGTAATGACTTTTTAAAAGGGCACGAAGAATTCATATCCTGAGCGCGAACAATGGCCCATCATTAACCATTTTTTCTTTAGCGACAAGTTCGAACGTTAAAATCTCTTTCTGTTACAGAAGATTGCAACGTTAGAAAACTTAATCTTAAACATTTTTATATATTTTAAGAGCATGTTTTCTCACTGTATATATATCTTCACACATTTATAGTGATAGGTCCACGTAGGTCGTGATTCTTGACTGGTGTTTTATCTTTTGTTTTTTAAACTTACAAATTTTAACCACAAGGACAACAACGATCAATATTGTATACTCACGAGCTAAAAAAACATGAGCGCTAATAAAAGTACTCTATATATAACATCATGTCCTTTTCTTTCTCTATATCTCCCTTTTTCTCTGTTATAAGCGATAATAAATTTATATGATTCAACTCTTTTCCTTATATTCTTCTTTGTCATGATGCAATAAGACAATGTTCTACGATTGAAGCAATAATACTTATATGCTTCACACAATTTCACTATTACAGTGAATTATTAGATGTTTCATTCTCCCCCTGATACGGTTACTTCTCGCCAAGAAGGCTCTTGTGATGGTTTAACGATAGTCGACGAAGGCTCAGTAATATCTAAAGCTGCTGGACTGGAGGGTGGTGTAGGTGTTGAGGGCCCATCTCTCGAGTTGCTATTTCCTGTTTCATTTTGCTCCGTTTCAGGTTCGCCATCAACGCTCGTTGTTGTTTCAGCCTGAGAATCTGTAACTTTGGATGTAACTGATTCTTGTGTTCTCAACGATGAACCATCTTTAGTACTGATACTATCCTCACCTATAATAAGATCGTCAATTGTTCATTAATGTTTACATTTATAAGTAAACAACTAATTATTTTGTTAAGAGTTTTCAAATAAAGATCAAACTGTTAGTAATAAAGCAAATAAATAAATTCTACTTACCGCAAGGCCTGAGAACCAAATAATACAAGAGATCAGATAGAGAAATTATACCAATTACTTTATCATCGTCGTCTATCACTACAAGTCTGTGAACCTAAAAAGATGCGAAATGATTTGATAAGAAAAATTGCACGTTTACTTATACTCTTTCTTTGTCATTATTATTAGATATTTTCTTTAATTACCTCTGCTCTCACAATTCTTTCCATAACAATAAACAACGTCTCATCTAATTTACAACTTTGAACACCTTCAAACCATTCGTTCCTGTGTTCATTAGCAGCTCGTAAAGATACGTCTAAATTATTATATGTCTTTTCAGCTGCTAAATTCTGCATAGAAGAAGAAAAAATAATAAATAAATTGTAATTATTTAAGAGTAAGGTAATTAAAAATAAATTAATACAAGAAATAACTTACGATAACATCGAACTTGGAATAAATATTAACTAGTTTTCCTTCTGCATCGATGACTGGTAATGCAGACACCCTCCTTTCGACAAATTTCTTGAGAGCTAAAATTATGCTAGTTTCTTCCGTAGCTGTTTCTATATCATTAAAAGTTCCTATCCTAAGTTCTCTAAGCGTTTTATTAGTAAAGGATGGTTTTGGTAATTCATGAATCTGTGAATTAAAATGAATTCGTTAATAAATTAAATTTCATTAAGTGTCATATATTCAGTCTTAATTAAATATGCAAGTTTTCATTATTACAACTTACATAAAGGAACAAAAACCTTAATATTCGTTTATGTGTTAAAATATAAAGCACATTGCCAGTATCGGGATCAATAACTGGCAAACGATGAATCCTGTTTTGTATTAAAGTTCTGATAGCTTCGTACAAAGACGCGTCAGGAGCGATGCTAACCAATGGATGAACTTGATCCTTTAATACCTCTGAATTAATAAAATACAATTAATATAAATAACATAAGAAATATATCCAAGTAAAGAATATTTACTTCTCCAAGTATCCAATTCGTGTTCCTCCAATTCATCCATTGTAACAGATGGACTTGTATAATACATTTGAAGAATTTTTATAAAATCTGTTATGGTCAACATGCCAACAAATTCTTGCCTTGCACTATCCCACAAGGGTGCGGCTCTTACTCCTAAAAAGTAATTAAACACAAAATTTAATGTACACTTAATGTGTAAATAAACAACATTACGTTTCAATTGCTCACCATTGTAAACAAGAGCGAAGAAGGCTTTTTTCACAAGAAGATGTGTGTCGAATACAACTAATTTAGCACTGGTCGGTATTAAATCATAACACTTGTGAAACTTGAAAAACTTGACGAATATTTGCGACTCGTCTTCTTCTAAAAATTACGAACAAACAGACAAACGAAAAAATACAATAACTTTAATATAAAAACACTTCATTATATTATATCAGAAAACATGTAAACGTCGCAAAGAATCATAAAGGAATCACCATTAATACATCAGAGAAGAAGATATCATGATGATCGCACCTTTGGAAAGAATCCAAGCAAGTTCATCTTCAAGGGGTGGATTTTCAAGTTCGAACTCTTTGATAAGGTCCTTGGAATAAACAGGATCATCTTCCTGACTCCACCAACTTGATACAACGTGTCTTAAAGCGGCACGGACGCTTTCAGAATTGGAATAATAATGTAGAGCTAACATTATTGTTATTATTATCTATTGCCATCGTTTGGATAATTAAATGGATAATAAGACAAATAATATTTCCACAAACTACAAACATAAACAGTTCGAGTGATCAGTAATATTATTAGCTGATCAAAGTTTCCTTTATTCAATCGAAGCACATCGTTCGATACGATGAATAGCATTTTCAAATAAGCCGGAAGACGTATCCGGTGATAGTGCGATGATATCGATTATATTATAATGATGATAATGACAATAATAAAGATTCATTCAAATGCTAATATCATTATTGATTATAAATTGAAGATTAAAATATTGAGAAGATGAACGAGACGATTCTCACGTATTTACGCATCAGTGTCGATCACCAAACGATCTATTCTTAAATCAATTTGCATTCTAATATTGAGGTGGATATAGTTGTTGCAGGTGAGAGAAGAAGAACAACAACGTCAAATCTTAACAATATAACAATAAGGAAAACAACAACAATAACACCGATGTCGCTATTAATCGTTCGCCATGGCCTTTATAATTCTCCTTCCAATCGCAAGGTTTATCTTTAAACTCTCCCACCAATTTCCTCACCTTCTGCTTAACTCTACACACAGTTCCGATCATATATATAAATATACGCACGATTGATTTTCAACGATAATATTTAGGAACATTATAAGAGATCTAACTTTATAATTTTGTTTCTTTCTAGTGAAAAAAGCGCCAAATAAAAAAAATAAAATTTGGAATAACAACAAATAAATTCTTCACTTTTTTGTTTAATTACAAACATCCAACCTTGATGCAACAATGCTTGCAAGAAAAAAAAACAAAGAAAAAAAGAAGGTTCATTAACGGTGACGACGTAATTAATTAATTGAACGAGCAAAGCATTCGAGTGTAAAATCAATCACTCCTGCAGCATAGATAACAATAATAACTTCTTGATTATAAACGGACCGTATATTAGCGGTAGTGTATCTCAATGTTGATATGACAATTACGTCCAGTTTTATCAGAAGTAATTCCCTAATAACAGGAATTAACAGATTAGGCCAACATAAGTAGCAATTTAAATAAAGAACGTAGTCTCCTCTTTTAGTCGCTTCTTAAAAAAAAAAAAAAGAAAACAAAAGACACACCCCTATTTCAACAAAAGAGACTCCTCCACTTCCTCCACCACAACCCTCTTTCACTTCTACTTCCTAAACTGTCACGAACTTGGTCAGCTTCATTGCTGATGAAGCAAGTAACTGATTCGCTCAGCGTGAAACAGAGTTACAATATTCTCTCGGTTCGTACGTAGTACACATGTATATACGTGTGTTCTGTTAGACAGTCTTCGTCGCATCATTCGTGCCAAGAATAACTCGAACTTGCCAAGAAAAAAAATCTGACTACGTTTAGTGGCTTACATTAGAGAGACCTAACAAATGCGAACCAGCAACAGTAACAGTAGCAGCAACCACCCTTGAATTTCTATTTGTCTGTTTTCCTGTTTCAGAAAGCTCTTTCTTTTTTCTCTCTTTGGAATTGATACAGTAATAAGTTAACAACAAACTTTTTTCATATTTTCTTTCCAGGTACATTTTCTACAAAATTTACAACTATGTCAGCACAATTATATAATTCTTTGCGACGTAGCAAACTTTCCAGCAAACTCTGAACTTTGAACTTGATAAGAATAGTTGAATATAAACTTACCGAGATCCGAAAGGGAAACCTTTTCCAAGAACGGATCCACGACTGGTAGCTGTGTAAGATATAAAAAAATAAAAATAAGAAAAAAATGGATCAAATAATTGCTGCTTAAATTAACTCGAAATAAAGGTGAGAAAGGAGAGTGTCATCCTTTTATAGAACAGTAAACTCACCCCTCGTGCATCTCTGAAGAGTATGGCAGCGTGAACTGGATCAAGACACGCATCTGATGCTCTGTGGGGTATAACTGGGGTTCCTAACGATAATCTTCTCGGCCCAGGATCTAATGAACTTCTTCTAAGTGCACCTACATCAAATGAGATCAAATCATCAAATTAAAAGAAATTCAAAAATCATCATTAAAGCTATTAAATGTAATTCAATCGAAATAAATAATATGAACGATCAAAAAGAAATGATTAAATAAGACATTTTGATGATCCATCAAATTTCAATTAAAGAAGAAGATGATGTATGATGAGGATTTGTACGAGCATTTATCGTGCATTTTTATCAGGCATTTTTATCGAACATTTCTATCGAGCATTTTCATCGATCTCTCGAGACGATCTAAAGTCGCTAAGAAAGAAACTTACTAAACTATTAAAAGGATTATTCATTTGCACGAAGATAGATCTTCCTCTCTGGTTACCTTGCCTCAATATACTCTCGTAGATTCGATAAGTTGTTTCGCAGTCGATTTCACGATGATGATTATTAGCTGCTGTAGCTTGACGAGCACCACCATCGAGACTTTGACTCCTATTACGAAATTCGTCCTCCCTTTTTCTTGGCGTTTCCTGGCATTCGCTTTGTCTTCTTATATGACCGAGTCTTCTACCAAAGTGTCTAATCATATCTTGTATACCATGATGATGATTATGATGAGAATGATGATGTTTGTCATGTTCACCGGTCGGACTTGGTGAAGCTGGCGAACTTCTTCCACTTCCAGTTTGTTGTTGTTGCTGATGAAAGTAATTGTGAATAGGTGGATGAAGCTGATTGTGATTGTGATGTTGATAATGTTGTTGATGATGATGAAGATGGTGTTGATGTTGTTGTTGTTGCTGATGATATTGATGATAATAATAATGATGATTCAGTCTGGTCTGATGATTCTGACCACTTCCATGAATGGTATGATAAACCGGTTGATTATGGTGTAGAGGATGATGATGATCCAAGAGTAAACTATTATAATGAGAAGTACGATGCGACAATCGATAGGTCGAACTGACTGACCCTCGTGATATCGCGTTCTCCTGAAGGTATAATTTATTGCTGATATTATTGTCTCCTCGATTCAAAAGTTCATGCAAAATCTTGGTATCTTGTTGACGAGCATCGAAAGATGAATTGGACGAGGACGATGAATTTTTTGAATCCTGCCGATTGCTTCGTGAATTTTCATTGTTGTTGTTAGAATTGTGCTGAGATAACAGATGACTTAATCCATGCATCTTGAATTTTTGTAGTTGTAATCTATTTTTTTTATTAATTTATATTTTTCTTATGTAAACTTGTTTACTTCTTAATCTTCTCGACAAAATAATAACAATCTTCTTCTCCTCATTATAATCTCCGTTAGTTTCAACGATGAGATGTTTAATTAAGCTGCGAATAATTATAAATAATAATAATAATAATAATAGTAATAATAATAATAATAATAATCATTTCTCATTCTCTTATTGTTTTAAAAGTCTTCGAAAATGGAAAAGTTTTGATTTTCATTACTCTCTTAATTGTTCTACGATCATTCTTCTTATTAATTTATTTCCTCCAATTATACACGCACTCACATATGTATGTATATGTATACATTTTGGCAAGAAATTAAAGTAATCTTTTAGAAAACGAAATCATTTTTACCAACAGCCAAGAATTTCCTACTTTATTATATTTAGTTAGAAAAATAATTTTCTAATCAATCTTTAAATAGATTGTTAGTCATATTAAAAATAATGTTAATATAATCTTGTTTACGAATACTCGCAATAATAATAATACCAATGTCGTTAATTATGATAATAATAGATTAAAAGATTATTGTGTACTTAAAGAATTATTAATTAAGATATAACATTAACCCTTATTAATTTCCAAGTTTTTTAATTGAATTAGAATTCATTGGATTGGAAACATTATAAAATCGAGCTATAAAATTGATGCAAGAAATTGTAGTCAAGATATACCAATCATTAAATCATCTTTACAAGGACAAATTAGTCAATCAACAAATGATTACCAAATGTTCTTGCATTCCCTTTCTCTCTCTCTTTCCTTTATTCATTTTATAAAAGTTTCAATATAGATTACCTTCAATATCGATTAGTATACATATAGATTGAATAATACGAGAAGAAACGCTGATCGTTCATATTGCATATAAGATGTAAACACATATATAGGACGATTCAAAAGTTCTCAAAAGAACTCAGTTCTTAAGATATTAAAAAAAAATGAAATAAATTTTTTTTTTCAAGACTATAATATACAGCATCTTAATTAAATTTTAGAAAGCTAGATTTATTGTTTTGTTATTTAAAGACCAAAAAAAGATATTTAACTCAGAACATCTAGAAGTTGCGTTGATTAATTTTTAAAATCAAAGATAATTAAAAAAAGTTATAAAAGTATTGATGGCTCAGGTAAGAAACTTTTGATTCATCCTGTATATATGCTTGCATATGCATATATGTATGTAATGTATGTATATAACAAAAGGGTGAAGCTGAGAGAAACAGAGAGAAAGAGAAATAGAAAGAGAGAGAGAGACAGAGATAGATTGATCTTGACCGAGAAACCTTGGCTCGTTAATTCAGCATGAGTTCAGCAATTTCATGAAGAGAGTACGAGTTTCGTTCTAGTTCTATTCAAAGTACTAATACTTCTACTACTATTCTCCTTAACTATTTTCAAATGTTTGTTATTTAAATTTAAGTGAAATTCATTTACATATACGATTTAATAAATTGAAATAAATGGAAAAATAGCTTGGTTCGTTAAAAAAGTAATTTACAGTTGAGATTATGGAATAGATTTGCTCGTTGATCTTTACAAACGCAATTGTGTGTGTGAATTGCATAAATCTATTAAATATTCTATTAAGATTATGCATTTAGGAATCAAAGAAAAAGAGAGAAAAAGAAAAAGAGAGCTTCTACGTTTTATAACTTGGAAACTTCCCAATTTTTCGACAAGTGGGTCGCCGAAAATGTATATTTTTAGGTCATACGAGATGAAAACTAGGATATTCTCTCTCTATCGATCCTCTTTTGCCAAACTTTCGAATCGAACTCTTGGATTACTAATGTGCATCCAATTTTATTTATTTACCCATCGTTTCTCATTCGAATTGCATAATACTATGTGTATTCATATACAATGTTAATAAAAATAATTATAAATATATTGAAATAATAATTAATAATAATAATAATAATAATATATATATATATATATATATATATATATATATATATGTGAATGGGTTGAAAAGTTTTTAATCTAACAATTCTTTTTCGGTCAAACTCACTTTAATTTAAAACAAAAAAAAGAAGGGGGTTTTTTGTCGAAGCGTAAAACTTTTCAACCCATCCTCGTATATTATATTAAATATATTTGAATAATTATTATAAAAAACATATTTATTAAATTAAATATATACAATAAAATAAAATAAATGTAGAAAAATATTATAGTGAAAAGATTTGTAAAAATGATGATACTTCGTTCTATTATCTATAATAAATATACAAATAAATCTTTTATCCAGATTAGAGTAAGAAACAGATTAAAATGTCTAATATTATCACAGATTAAAGTTAAAAAAAAAATCCTAAGTAAATCTAACAGATAATGCGAGGTTCTAATCATCGACGATAAGAATCGAAAAGATCGATCTTTAAACTTTAAAAAGATAAATCAAGACAACATTACAAATATGCTATTAAAATCTAATAGAACTCATAGTCAAGAGAAAGAGAAAGAAGAAGAAGATATCTAAGGATAGAAAATAACGTTTGTTATATATTTACGTTTTCAATGTTATTCTTTGAAAACTCAAAGAGAAAAAGAAAGAATGAGAGAGAAAGAGGAAGTAATACTACGGTTAAAACTTGTATTATACCATTACTAAAAATAGTACGAACAATATCGAAGAAAGAGAACATTGACACGTGAATAAAATATCGGAGAATCAAGTATTTGCTATGAAAACAAAACGTATGATATATACACACATCGTAGATATATGTTACTTTTTTAAAGCAAATTTTAACACATCAGCACAATTGAATCTTTCAAGGACACTATTCTTAAGAGGGCGATCGCATTTCTTTTTTTTTATCTTCTTTCTCTCCCTCTTTTATTCTTTAATAGAAAATGTATGTATACAATGGGTAAACATATGTACTACGTTTAAGATCTTGTATAAAGTTTATAACATCAAAGATATGAACAAAGGAGGACCATCATTTAAAATATTTAAAATAAAAAATATAAAGGATGGCTTTTCAAAAGTTGTATGCCTTGACATAAAAAATATTTATATTTATATTTATATTTATATTTATATTTATATCTAATATTATTTTAAAATAAAAGTGAGTCTGAACGAAATAAAAGTTGTATCTATGTTAGAATCAAAACTTTTCAAGCAACCCACGTGTGTATATATATATATAAGGTGGGCTGTAAATAAAATTTTAAGATAATTAATCACGGGCCCGTTTTTTACTTTTTGTGTACAACAATGAATTATAAGAATAAATGAAACTTCTAAGAAACTTTTGACCCACCCTGTATATGTAAACATACACATACACACGCAAGTGCAATAACTGCAGTAAAGTATTTCAGCTTGTGCATTATTTTACATAAGCATACTGCAGACTTGTTAAATGCAGGTGAAGATACAACAAAACTGCTGTTTGCTATTCTAAGAAACATATGTGTGTATGCGTGTGTTTATGCTATCTCACAAATGTAACGAGATCGTAATTGCATCATCTACGTTTTTTTTCCTTATTTCATCTCCGTTAATATATATATATTTGTTTGTAATCCTTTCAATGAATAATTTATTAAATAAAAGAAGCATTAGCCATTTTGAATAGATAACAAATTCCAAATAAACAAAAAAATATTATTGACAATAAAAATTCATTAAAAAACGTCATATTTTCATGGCCGGACACATTTCTTCATGATATATCAAGAGTATTACTTTACAAGAGAATCAGATTTCTTTTTCGTTACTAAATTTGTTAACGTGAGCACATAACCTTATGAGTTATGCGAAATTCGTGACAACGAGTATACATATAATACATATCTATGTACATATGACGTAATCCCAAAAAAATCATAAAATAAAATACATAATGAAATAAAAAATGAGGTTAACCATTATTCTTTGCTATATTTTTGTTATAGCACAAGAACTAATTATCAATAATAACGAATTAACTAATTAAACGAAACATGAACGATGATTCTTCGATTCATGATTTTCTTTTTCATTTGTCATCTTAACAAAATAATAATAATAATAATAATAATAATAATAATAATAATAATAATAATAATAAATAATAAAAATAAAAAAGAATAAGTTGCATAATAAGTGTCATAATTTTATAAAGGTGAATATTCATCTAGGTCAGGTCGTTATGATGGAATTATGTGGATGCGTCAGCGACAAAAAACTATAGCTACAGCAGCAGGAAGAAAGGATTAACTTGAATAATAATAATAAGGTTCTTCTCGTCTTATGCCGTGTTCCTTATTCGTTTCGCATATGCGTCGTATTCTGTCTTCAAGGATAAGGAAAGAGAAAAAAAGAAAGAAAGAAAAAAGAAAAAAAGAAGAAAAAAGAAAAAAAGAAGAAGAAAACGAAGATGAAGAAGAAGAACGCGTACAATTTTGAATTCCAGCAAAGTCTAAAAACAGCGCGTCAAAGGACTATTTTCATTCACTACAATGCGACGTTCGCTCATTAGTCAAGGTCGCAAGAGATATGACAACCAATTGTATCTTCTTCCTTATTTACTATTCAAATGAGAAATAAAATGTTAACAAAATTACATTTAACAAAAAAAAAAAATAAAATTAACCACAAACATGATCTACCTTGTTAATTGATTTTAATAGTTACCAGAAAAGATGCATGTGTTTCAATCGATTATGGTTTATGCTCAACGAACTACGTAGAATTTAAAATGACCTAGAAAAGGAGTGAACCTTCTCTCTCTCTTTTTCTCTCTCTCTTTTTCTCCCTTTTTTTTCTTCCTTTCTTTGTTCCTAAATAGAACGTTGATTATAAGAACATTTGAGCAGATGTTAAATAAGAATATTTAATGTTCTGTATATCTAATGTGTGCTCTGTAATGTATGTCTGTGTGTGTGGTGAGAGAAAGAGAAAGAGAAGGAGATGAAAACATGTAAGACGTGACAAAAAGGAAATAAAAATAGGATTAACGTTGCAGCATCTTCGTTTGAGAGAAAGAGAGAGAGAGAAAGAGAGAGAGAGAGAGAGAGAGAAAGAGTAAGAATCAAAACGCAAGCTCTTACATTCCTCACAATTTCTAACGATGCATTAATGAATTACTAACATAACATATTTTCGTTTTTTAGAAATGACAGAACCTAAATGAATGAAAGAAAATTATTTCATTTTTAGATCGTAGAAAAATCATGTGTTAAGGTTATGTTATATATTTTTCCATAAGAAAAAAAATCCATCGATTATTAATTAAAGCTATAGGGCTATATTATTTGTTTCGATAGTTTTTAAAACTACTTTTCAAAAACGTTTCGATTCTCGAAGACAATAGAATAATTGACATTGATTTGAATTCGACTTACGTTTCCAAAAATTGTGACGCAAAGTTGTACAACACAAGAAAACTATCAATAATAACGTAGATATTTGTCTTAAGTAAACGTTCAAATTTTCATGATTTCCAGCGTCGAAATAAAAAAAAAAAGAACTTTTCTTGCTTTTTGTAGAGAATTAATTTCACAAATTAACCTCACAAATTTCACTTAAGAAAAACAATATGCACAATCGAAAATGAAAGCGTCAGGTCTGTCTATGTTGTGATGAGCTTACTGAAACAGCACCTTAAATTCTCTTCCCGCAACTTCGGCTTTTCGACGAAAACGCACGAACTACTCGTTTTCACTTTCGATACATACACTTTTATTCCGCTATTCAATCGAACTCTCCTTCTCCTACATTCAAATATATTGCAAGGAATACGTTTCGGACTAAGTGAAACACTGTAGGTTCCAAAGTAGTAAACAAAGAAAAAAAACAAATGAATAAAAATTAAAATTAAAAAAAAACCGATAATGAGATTAATTACTGAAAAAATAAAGAAGAAAACTCGGTTAATATACGGTGCAATACACAAACACTTTTAACGAATTACAATGATGAAGAAGGCGCCACCGACAGACTCTCAATCAGACGAATCCCGATTATATACACCCAAGTTAGAAAATCGCGCGCTCGTGACTCGAAAGAATTTAATGGGAGAGAAAGAGAGAAAAATAGGGAGAAATAGAAAGAAAGAGAGAGAAAAAATCTCATTCGATTACTCCTCTCGTCACTCTTTATGCACCATTATTTTCTATCCCTACTTTTCCCGCATTACCGTCGAATCTTTCGCTTAAAATATGGCGCATTTTTTAAATTGACCAATCACGCGCTTACGACTCAAGTCAATAATTAATATACTGCGCATAGTCTGAAACGAACCAATCAGAAGTGAACATAGGTAGTGCCACCAAACGAAAACTTTCGAAAACATTTTGAAATACTTAATCGATCCACGTGATTTTTGAAACCACAAAAGCGCGGTAAACTATGTATAATACATATAAATTTCCATATTTTTCACTATTTTCTATTCACTCTTTATCGATACTATTGATGATAATGCTCGATAAATTTAAATGCATGGTAAATAAATTAGAATATGTACATATGTATTAATCGTAATCAGTGTTATCATCGTACATGTATCGTGTACATGAAACAATAATATCTCACGCTGTTAAGTTAAACGTATAAATATGTACGTAAACATTTAAGTTTGTATATATATGCTAAAAAGATTATTCGATGCCATTTTCTTCATTGTTTTTTGTTAATTTTTAAAAAATTAAATGCAAATTACTCACTTTGCGCAGCTACCTGTGCTTGATGATGTTGAGCTGCTGTCCTCTGTAGCAAAAAGAAAAAAGGAGAGCTATTAAAAATTATATCTATTCATCATCAAACTAATAATAAGAAAAAATTATTTACAATTTCTATGCTACTATGCAAACGAGGATTTAAATAAAAAAAGAGTGTTCTTTTTATCATCGATAATAATAACAGAAAAATTATAAGAATAAAACTATAGGAAATACATTTTGCAAGATCAGACGAATGCCAGAAGCTTCTAGAGTCTTCGAATCCAAAGAGCGACTTCTAGGTTTTGGGGTAAAATAATCATCCCTTTTGCCACTTTTAATCCATCGAAAATAGGATGACATATTGAATTCTCTTATATATTTTTTTTTCAAACTATTAATGAAAAATCTTGTTAAAGTCTTCTTGTCAGGAGACTGGTCTAAATTAATACATTCCTTGTGTTAAAAAAACAGATATAACATTATTAAGCTAATATCCCGTTCTATTAATTTATTAATTAAAAAAAATAAAAAAGGAACGAAGAAAGACATTAATAAAAAGAAGAAAAGTCAAAGTTTACACAGAATGTTATAGAATACCTAATATAAAAAACACGAGCGGAGTGTTATCGCAGCACGTGAAAGGAAAACAAATTAAACAAATTTTGGCCTTTCGAATAAAAATATGTCATAACGCGCGCGCACCCACGCATGCACACACACACGTGCATATACGAATGTTATCACTGATAGAAGCGCGTACACACAAGCGTGAGGAACATTTGTTCCTGCAGTTTACATTAAATTAACATAAATTGTCATCGATTAAAAGAGTACAAAAAAAAAAGAGATAAATAAAATTAACTTTTAATTTTTTTCTTCTTTTTTTTTTTTTAGAATACCATAGAGAGAGATTATTTATATCTCGTATTAAGATAACAATTTATTTATGATTTCCGAAGATATTTAATCCTATTTATAAGTAATGTGTGTATGTGCATTTATTTTTTAAACGAAATAGATAAATTGTTCAGTTCTTTTCTCATTGAAAGGAAAAATCTAAGTAATTCCAAACGTGTCCCAACTTATACGCGATCAACTAAAGAATATCGAGTCATCGGATGACCTTTCACCTCGAGTCAAACGTGTAGAATAATATGACTTATGCGTATTTTGCGTTGCCTAACTCGTTAACTAATGTTTTTCTTTTTTCCTTTTTATTAACAGGAAACCTTTGATTGCACAATACTACCTACTACAAGTTTTCACATTGAAAAAAATGTACACGAGATTATAATTGCTCTTTTAATGTAATGTTACATCATAATTATATCGATAAAAAAAAAGTCTTAAGCAACAAGATAAATAAAATGTAAATATAAAAAAGTATAAGAGAATTCAGATGTAAAACTTATTGAATAAAGTTCGATGAGTTTTGCACTTGATTCGTCTTAATTCAGATTTATTTAAAACACAATGATTTTAACGGTTTTTTTTTTCTTTTTTTATATACATATATAAAAATAATTTCATAATTAACACCCGTTTTTATAGTTTAACGCGAAACGAAAATAAATAAATAATTAAGAAAGAAAAGAAAAAACATATATGTATGCATAATTATAATAAATCACTGAACACATTACAACGGATTGTAGCAATAATGCAAATACATCTTTTGCAATTCGCAAACACTACTATTTTACAAAATCTCGGTAATTCTTAAGCAGTAAAGTATGACGACCGTGTACTGAGTGTAAAATGCGTGTTGTACTCTCTCCGTTTCAGTTCCCACTACGCATCGCTAAAATGAACGTGATACAAGCGCGACTTTACTCCCACCAAATGACGTTCTCGCTAGTATGTACATACATATGTATGCTTATGCCACGTACTCTTTCACATACACCTAACTAATCGAGTTTATTTAAACAGTGTTTATCCAAAGAATAAACGTAGGGGAAACCGTTACGAGAGAAAACGATATCTCATTTTGCAGGCATCACGATATTTTGTTGACCACAAAACTCTTAAGATAAATTTCATTTTCGACAATAAAAAACATTTGTATATCCAAATTTATATAAGAGTATTATAACATATTTATTTGTGTATATCTATTGCATTTTAAATAATAATAATAATAATAATAATAATAATAATAATAATAATAATAAAAATGATAATAATAATAATAATAATAGTAATATATATCTATAACTCACCGCTTTTCTTTTATCCTCAGCACTAAGAGCACTATGGCTTCTGTGTCTAATAAGATCCATAACTTTGCTTACAGGATTCCTACTACTTTCAGATCCTGCTCTAGGTCTACTACTTTGTTCTTTGGATTCTCTAGATTCTCTGGCATCTTTATGATGTTCTTTTTCGGTGTGTACATCACCCGATGAACTTCCATGTGATCCTCTGTGAAGAGAATGCTATGAACAAAAGAAAATGTATTTCAATTAATACAATACAATATTGATAAGTATATTATTATTAAATAAAAATTAATTATCAAGCTAAATTTATATTTCACAATATTAATACACAATTTTGATATAATCCCTCTCATTCTATTTCAATTTTTATCAACGTAAATAAACTTTGGATGTACCTGCACAGCACTCTTCATATTGGCAATAAGACTAGGCTTTCTTTTACTGGCATCAGACTTGCTCCTTGGTCTGAAGGCATCGAAAAGAGCAGGCTTTCTTGTAGGACTAGCTGTGTCGTCGACTGAACCACCACCACCACCACCGCTTCTTCTACGTTCTGCACTGTTACTTCGACTGTTACTACGACTAGTAGATCCTGAACGTGTACCCGAAGCCTTTCTACCACCCTTGCTCGAACTGGACGAACTGGATACCGAAGGTTCAGGAGGTTGTTGAGGGAGTGGAGTAGAGTTTCCAGATCCTGGTGCACTTCCTGGTGCTGGTTTCCTAATAGGTCTTGAATGAGAACCCCAGGTACCTAATTACAAATATAATTCATTAGTATATGAAGTATATTTTATGAGTATCTTAAAAATGTATGTAAAATAATACAAATTATTTTTTAATAAACTATTTTTAATATTTAAAATTGTAAAATATATTGTTAATTAATAGAAAATTACCTGCTCTAGGCCTATGGCCTTGTTCATGAGAACCTTGATTATTATCGGCATCTTCGGTAACTATAGTTGGCAATGGCTGTGAACCAAGTTCCTAAAAGCAAAAAAAAAGTATTATCTAAATACAGTAATAAGACTTACTGAACACTTTGGAACACTTAATCGATTTACATCTATTATATAGAAGTATATAGTTTTCCAGCATATTCCGTAGTAACCTTCTACTTGAGAACCCATTGTCATATTCTGTTTAGGACATAATAACTCATACTTATTAAACACCCACACTGTAGAGATTAAATCCTTCAAATTCTAATATATAATTTGTAAAGTCTTTGTAGTCGGCGGAAGTTTGATCTAAAAGATCTCAACATCATGATGTCACTTCGTTAAGTATCTTGCAAACAGTATCAATATATTATATATACACAATATGCATTTATATATATATATATATATATATATATATATATATATATATATATATATATTGTTTGCAATATACAGATAGTTCATCCTATGTTTCATTGAAATATTAAAAGATAGTGTCCCAAGTTATACCAACAGCAAAGAGATCAAAAAAATGATTGTCTTTTATATGTAGCATTTGCTTGTTCGATGATCCCAGAAGTAATAAAGGGATATAAAGTAAAAATTTTGTTTTTTTTTTCGCAATACAATAACAAATATCTTCTTAAAACATTCAAATTAAATTAACTGACTTATGTCGTAATAACAATTAATCTTTATAAAAACAAAAAGAAAAGAAAAAAAAAGTCTCTGCAATATTTATAACTACCTTATAAGTTCCATATTCAGGGCAACGATCCAAATAAGGCACAAGTGAATATTTTCGGACTCTTCCTAAAGAAACCGATGACATAATAAACTAATTAAATAAAAAATTTAAAAAAACAACGAAAAAGCAAGTATTACAAATTGCTAACTTATAGCCGAATGAACTCGTATAATAAGAATGATGTACCTATCAGAAGACACAAACGTTAACTGACAAAAACTGATATAAATTCACATAAGGAAAAAAAGCGTAGAGGAATATCTGTCTATTATCGTGAATTGAAATCTTCTCATCATTGGTCGACATCGATAACAATATTTTCACGGACAATCATGTAGTCATAACGCTCATTGCCTTATCAAAGTTCTTAGAGATTACAATTGCAAAGAGGCTATATATGTATATCTCTGTTGTCTATTAAATAAACTATACAACGTTGATGCACTTATCATACTATGAAAATATAATCGCAAATTAATGTTCTAATTATAAGAAAAATTAAATTTATTTGATCTTCCTCTTCTTCTTATTTTTTTTCTTCTTATAGATAAAAAAAACACTGAAAATGGAAATATCTAATCTCTATGTTTTTTCTTTTCTTCTATTTTTTTTTCTCTACACAACAGGATAATTCTTTCATAAAAGGCTAAGCTACGAATCTATACGTATGACTTATCTATTGTATAAACGCGTGTATGTGCGTATGTGTATGTGTGCAATGAAACTCATAAAAAAAGAGTGAAACTACGAGTATTGTTAAGATGATAAATAAAAGATTTGCGATTACAAGAATTGTCTGACTAGCGAATTAAAAGAAGAGAGAAAATTCCTATCTCATCGCATTAATGAATCTTTATAATGTCAATCGTAATCGAGACGAGGTCAAATATTTCATAAATTTGAGGAAAATAAATAGTTAATAAATCATTAGTGAAAAATCTACGATCGAATGAAAAACATTGCAAAGAGAAAGCAACGACTTGGGACACTATAAAGTAAAGAAAAAGAAAAAAAGGAAAAGAAACAACGTATAACGGAATGCCATTCGTCATCAAAAGGATCTCCTATCTAATATCGAATAAAAAGTAAGAAGCCTACATCTAAAATAATATTTTTTAATTATTAATTTCTTTCGCTCTACCATCGCACATAAAGATATCATTTCTAATTCATAGTAAAGATGAGATCTAACGATCAGGATATTTATACACAAATGTGATGTTTTCGTCGTGTACATACACACATATACATATGATACAAAATAAATAAGTAAATAAATGAATAAACAAACAAATAAATAACTGTAAAATATATTGCATGCCAATAATAACAATAATAATAATAATTATAATTATAATAATAATAATCATAATAATAATAACAATAATAAAGGAAAACAAAAAAAAAATATATATACATGTCTCATTGGCATGGTAATGACATTGATTTAATTTCTATTGATTGCGAAGTTCTACGAATAACCTTCCCCTATGTTATAATTACGTAATCTCTCTCTAGTATCTGATGATCGTTGAGAAATATCAAAATAGGAGAATACATTATGCTTGATCGCCTAAGCCAAATACTACATACCAAAACAATGATTTTTTCTTCAACCAAACAAAATAGTAAGGGGTGTGCCGCTGTTGGTAGAACTTGGCGTAATGTTCTGAAATATAAAAGAGAGAATGTGACATATTTTCCGAGGCTTTACCTAACATATGAGTGGGAGAAAAAGAGAGAAAGAGAGAAAGAGAGAGAGAGAAAGAAAAAAAAATAGAGAGAGAAACAGAAACTTTGTGTATTCTGTGTCATCAACGTTGAAAATACACTTAAGTAAATACAAAACGTATAACGAGAATCGCTAAAATATTTTATGCTGCTCTACTCATAATGATAATTAAAATAATATTAAATGTTTGAATCCTAAGTAACACGATTGCACTCTTTACATTTGTGGACAACCGACAGTGCATTAGAATTCTGCTAAAATTGGTGCACTTAACTTTACCAATGCTCATTAGATGCATTAATAAAAAACAAATATATAATAATTTTGCTTAAATCTTCTTCTAAATATAAACTAAGACAAACACTATCATCACGCTGCTTGATGTTTTTCAACAAGACTTTTCCAATGGCTTCTGCTTTTCATTTGAAAGAGACACTTACACATCGTTCTTTCAAACGTGTTTTAACTTATTCCTAACGTGAATGAATAACTTGGAATTAGAGTATGATCACGATGTGAATCGATGAATGATAATTTTCTCGTTATTATTAGTTATTTTTTTGTAATTAACATCTACCTTCCGCCGAACACATACCGAGCTTAATTCGTTGATCTGTACAATAATTAAAAACCAACGACAATTTCTGGAGTCGGGGATGGGGTTTGTTCATAGTTATAAGAATTCATTGAAAAAACCACAAAAAAGAAAGAAAAAAAAAAAGATTATTATATAGGGACTCACCTTTCTTTTTCTCTCCTGTATGAAGTCAACCCTACGCACCCATACTTCCTCAGTAGAATCATAATCGAGAGTGCTAGAACTACTAGCTTGACTCTTCATTTCTATCAAGCTACTGTCAAAGAATCTCTTGTCCAAATGTGGACTTGGTAATGGACTAGTTCTCGAGAAGGTCATACTGCTAGAATAAGAAGGTGGATCAGTAGCAGGAAAAGTCATTCCTGGACCAGTAGTGTGTCTTCTTCTAAGGGGTGGTTTTGTTGTTGAAGTTGGTGATGTTACAGTAGTCGTAACAGTTGACATGGTAAACCTAGAAGTTGTAACAGCTGTCGTAGTTGGAACTGCTGTAGTCAATGTAGTCAATGTAGTAGTTGTAGTAGTAGGCATAGTTGTAATCGTAGTCATCGTCGTTGCCGATGAAGCTGACGTAATCGATGATGTCATTGATGATGCTGCTGTCAGAGTCATCGTTGTCATTGGCATTGTTGGGTTAATGGATGTTATCAATGCGGATTTAGTTTCGGATATGCTCAAGGATTGATTCGATTTAAGATCGATTCTTTCCGAACTTGATCTTTCTGAGGATGTTGGGCTTGAACCTTTCGAAGATATGCTAGCTTCTCGAGTATTATCTTGAGACTCTTCATTCTTTGTTTCTTCCTTCTTACTGATAATTGTTTCTGCATTTTTACCTATAAAAAATATATTCATGTAATACAGATATGTAAATTGTGATATTATTTTTAAACGTAGATATTTATATATTGCGTGTGGTTTATATTATTTTAATGGTTGTTTAAAAGAATAAGTCTATATTACACGTTTCATCAAATTTTGTGCATTAACAAAAATTAATAAATATTAAATTAAAATATATTTTTCAAAATGTAATAAAGGTTTAGTATATTACATTAGTTGCTTCTATAATTTTTACTGTAAGCTATGAATGGTTTCTATGTTTTCCTGTTAATTTGATTACATGTAACATACACCCACTCGTTTATTAATTTTGTTTGTATACTGAAAGAAAATGAGTCATGTTTTTTGTTTGTTCGCTTGTTTTTTTCCTACGATGACGATGACGATGACGATAACAATGATGACGACGACGACGACGACGACAACAATGATAATGATAATGATGATGATGATGATGATGATAATAAAGAGTATAAAGAAGAGTTTTACAATTTTTGTTATCTATAAATAAATCACACCACGTAGAATTTACACACGTAGAATATAGTAGATCAGGCGTTGTGTTGCCTAAGTGGGGTGACTTTTTGCACTTGTAGGACGGCCGTTGCCAAACGAAACTAAACGAAGCTAAAAGACCAGATTGGTGTAACGCTAATCTTAGCACTCGCAGTCGAACGAGCTCTCCTATCTCGTAATAGCAATCTTCTCCTCTCTCTCTCTCTTTTCCTTTCTTTCTTTCTTTAATGGCCGAACCTGAAATTTCGTAACTTCGTCTTTTAACTCGCTTTTCTCGTTTCAATCGAATTCCCTCTGTTAACATATATATATATATATATATATATATATATATATACATAGGGAATTCTCTGATACTTGAAGAATCTTAATGAATTAACGAGAAAAAGAGAGAAAGAGATAGAGGAATATATATATATATATATATATTAATATATATATATATATATATATTACAATTAAACAAGATCGCGAGAATAGCGAGAATAAAGAGTTGGAGGAAGAAAAGTAAGCTTAATTGGATAGCAGATAGAGATAATGTTGTACTTCGTAGAAAATAAGAATGTTGTTGCGCTCGTTGTACTTGTAAATCACGTGCTAACATGAGACATAATTCTTGATCAACGAGAAAGAGCGAGAGCGAGAGAGAGAGAGAGAAAGAAATAGAGAGACAATTATATGAGAAAATGGAAACCAAACAAGCAAGTAAAAAACCCAACAACAACGACGACAATATATATCTCCATTCTTACCTTCCTCTGTTTCATATTCATCTTCTTCTCTGCATTCAGACAATCTTCTACCCCAAGGATAAGGACTATGAGTTTGATTTCTTGATGGTAACCTATTGACATGAGAAAGAAAGTAATGATGAAAGAAACTATCGACCCCATCAGAATCCTCTCCAGAGGATTGTAGCATATCCTTGAGGGCAGCCAATGAGGTAATAGTATTGTAATTGATAGCCGAAATAAGATCATCCTCGATGTCACTGTCATCAGTGGTATCTTCGTTTTTATTGGTCATTGTTTCCGTTAATTCGGTCGTTGTTACTGTTTCTTGATCGAGACTTTTACTAGGCTCGGTTTTTGGTGGTTCCGTTTTATCCTCTGAACTGGTTTCAGACTCGTCTTCGGACGTACAACTAGAGGTACTCGTACTTGATGTTTCCTCCTCTTTTTTAGCCGTTTTCGTTGTCTCCTCGTCGTCAAATACCTTACAACAATTGACTTCTGAACTTTCCTCTTCCTCCTCGTTGTTGTCACGCTTTTTTAATTGTTTATTATCTTTACAATCGTCCACATTCTTAGGCAAGATTTCCACGTCGGATGAAGCAGATTTCTTTCCTTCTGTTTCTACGTTCATATTGTTACGATTAACGACGTTATTGTTCTTCTTTTTCTTCTTGTTGTCGACATCGCACGAATCCTTGTTACTTTTACTATTACTATTATCCTCCATTGAGAAACCTAATTATTAAAAAAGAAATAAAATATCCTCTTTATTAATGTAATTCTCGTTTAATCGAACTTATTATTATTTAGTTGGTATAGAAACATTCGATTTAAACGAACTGTTAATGTAATAACACAGCCAAGATCGTTTGCATCCTATCTACTTGTTTCACTAATGAAAAAGCCGACAAACACTTTGGCTTTCTTTCATGATACCTTACATTGGCTCGTGTGAGACTAAATATAATATATATATATATATATATGGGTGTGTATTTATGCATGTATTTGTGGTATGATATTGCGGAGAGTCAACTCCTCTCTAGCTTACGAAGAATTTGTTTAGTCATCGCGCTTTGAGTGCGGTGCACGTATTGAGCATATAAACTGGTGGTACATACTTATGTGAGGATTACAAAATCATACATCACGCGCCAAGTGGATCATCGGAAATCAATATGATATCGAGAAATGTTGTAGACGCTCATACAGATCGCGTGTCACAGATGCTTCACAAGTTTTTTCATTAATCATCATGAAATATGAAAACGACTTATCTGTGATATTCAATTGATTCCTTGTTTCTTTCGTTTTCTTTTTTTTTTTTTTAGAATTTACCTTGTTTCAATTAGTATAATCGATTGATGAAACAATTGAGATGTAATAACAAAAAATAAATTCTTTTTTTGAACGTTCTATTTGATTATAAAAATATAATAATAATAATAATAATGATGATAAAACTCACCTTAATAATGGAAGTCAGAGTATTCCAGAAAGGCAGTCAGTATATACAAGCAGGAATTAATCTTCTAGAGTCGTCGAAAAGTAGAACGATCTTTATAATTTTATATTAACATGTTATGTATCTCATTTGTAATATATATATATATATATATATATATATATATATATATATATATATATTTATCACTGTAATTTTCGTCGATTAAAATAAATTCAGTATAAGAAATAAAACGGGAAATAAAATTTGTCTCACGCACACGAATTTGAATTACGCGCCACAAAATGTTCAACAAACAGGATCGTCTTAAGGAGTAATTAAAATATATATGTTATATATTTATCTAAAATTTATTTTATATTAAATAAGCAATCAGAGTTAGAAGTTGACATGTTGTATTCGGCGTTAGAAAAACAAAAAGGCGTTTCCTTATATTTTTTAATCCTTCCTTCCTTCCTTCCCTTCTTTCTTTCTTTTTCGTCAAACGTAAAAAACTTTAATGAAAAGAAAAAAATGAAATTCAAAACGAAATTGTCTTTTCTAATAGAATTCTTCGAAAAAAGGCAAATAACAAGACAAATATTATAAATAAAATTGTGAGGTTAGATTAGATTTTCCTTGTGGTAAGAGACGTAAGAAAAAATAAGGTACCGTAACCAATTAAGTAATACCATCACGAGTTTGATCCTTTCTTGGAAATTCAAACATCGATGTTAAAAACTCTTGCGATTTTACGTCCTTTTATCCTCGTTCTTCAAAAATTCTTCTTCTAAAGTTGAAAAATATTACAAAATGTAAACAGCTGTACGCGCTCGTAGACGCTCGCTAATGTTCGTAAACACTCGGTAATGTTCGTTGACGTTCGGAAAGATGAAGAATATGGAGACTTAAGCGCTGTTACGGGGGGAGGAAGGGCAACACTGTTACATTTCTTTATGGCAATTTTAAAATATTGCAATATTTCATTATTACAATCGAACACTTTTCTTCTTGGTTTTCTTCCTCTATTTCTTCTTCGTTTCGATGAACAATGAATAATCTTCTAAAATGCAATAAATTAGAAAAATACGTTAACATTTCACGAATAATAATACATTACTCCTTTCGATGAAACACTTTTAAACGTTATCGACCAATCGACCGTTGAGGTTTACGCGCGAATTTTTGTTACGTTCTTTTTGAAAATAACAAAGAAATATTAGGAAGGTGGGGGAAAGGGAGCATACCGTTTCTCCGAATAAAAAAATTTAAGCGTGTCACTACACCTTCCCCTTTTTTCTCTCTCTCACCACCCTTGTTAAATTACTAACTGCTGGCTGGACTATTACGATGGATAAGATAGAAATAGAGTAAGAAAGAAAGAAAGAGAGAGAAAAAGAGAAAGAAAGAGAAACAACATGTCGAAAGGGGATGTCACGATGCGGAAAAAAGGATCGATGCGTTTTCTTCTCTCCTTTCCCCTCTCTTGCACGTTCTTGGCGTTAGCCGGCACGTTGCCGGAACGACAAACGACACGACCTTGAGGCTAAGCCGAGCGCATCCGTATCAACGCAATCGCGCACGTAACTCGAGCGATCTGGCTCCTACACCGTTCTTTTTTACCAAAATCGAATTTACTGATTGCACATATGTATGCATATATATCCGTATATAGATATAGATAGGCAAGCAAGAAAGAAAGAAAAAAAGAGGGGCTAGTGAACGAAATGAAAGAGACTAGTAGAATGACTTAATTCCTATTTCTAATGCGCGACTATATTCTTTCACACTTTCAGGAATCACGTCCTTCAAACTGCACATAAAATGGTCGTTCGGGCCGGCCCAGCTTTTTCCGCAAAATCATAAGGAAAGATAAGCGAAACACACATACTTTCTTCCTTTAGATCGTTCTGATTTGATAATGATAAAATACATGAGATAAAAAGAGAAAGAAAGATAAAGATATATAGATGTAGAGAAAGAAAATGTGTGTGTGTGTGTTTGTGTGTGGATGAGTGAGAAAGAAAGAGAGAGAAAAAAAAAGAAAGAAAATAACAAACAAACACGTATTTTTCTTTTTAAGGAAATAAATAAACAACCACAAATGTGTACGAGCGTATGTGTATGTAACGTGGCGATTGGATCGAAGAGAAAACGCTTCCGATTGGCGTCTCTTCGATCCTTGTAGTAGCGCTGCCGAGAGCAGACTGATACCCCTCTTTTTTATTCAGCTTCACGCGCGCTCTCATCTAACTATACACAAACGTATGCAATTGCGCTAAGGAAAGTGCTGCACAATTTTACCCCTTTAAAAATGTACGTAACTCCCTCACCGGCCGGTCGTTTAAATGCTCTGTTACCGTTGTTTCGAGCTGCTGCCATTTGCACGCGTTAGGTATACGACTGGTTGTAGACTAGATATTTTTTTTCTTTCTTTATTTCTGTCTATTTACTATTTCGTAGTTTCTATCTTGTTACGAGACTATGGCAAACTTCATATGAATTATTTGATTTAAATATTTTATTGATGATTTATATGTTATAGGTTTTAAATATTTTGTTTTTGTTCTAATTTTAGGTTATGTAGGTTTTCCTCAGGTATTTCTCAACGATTTGCTCTTTTGTAATGAAATGACTCACGTCACGTTTTAATATTATTCTAAGTATCGTCATCGTAGGTTATTAGTCGTACGATTCTGTAACACGTGAATCCACGTGAATACGTTCTCAATTTATACTCTTACACGATACAGTTAACGCTGTGCTGAAATAGATATTATGGAACTCGAATCTAAGATTATAACTAAGAGCGTGAGAAAACAAAAGCGTGCATACTACAGGCTTATGAGGGATATGAATATTAAATGTTGCGACAAACCTACCAAAGTTAGTTCTTTTTTCTATCGTTTGATTAATATCATTTATTTTCGAGCCTTTAAGTTATATTTTTTTGTCAATAGAATATACTGATTTGCAATGCAGGCTTATCCACTGGCTTAGATAAAGAAATGCTGCAGAATATTATTTCACCTATAATATCTAATTGCGAATTTATCATGCCACTAGGACGTACTTATTGTTTCATTAAATGTTCATTAGAAACTGATGCTATTCAATTGTACAATAAAATACATGGACGCTTTAAATTGAATGGTCAAAATACACCACTGTATTTAACGTATACTGAATCAGGTATATTACTTATTTATTCTTTTCGTTATATATATGAAACATATATCTAAGAAATTAAACATTAACTTTTATATTTTTTAGTACCTGATTTAAATAAGGATACACCCGATTCTATATTGCCACCTGGTCTGAAAGTAATAGAAGATTTTGTAAGCGAAGAAGAAGAGAAGTCTTTATTGAATATAATTGATTGGACAGAAGATGGTAATAATATTAATTTAAAATATCAAAGTATTTTTACACAATAGACATTTTTTGTAGGACCTTTTTCATCTGATCTAAAACAAAGAAAAGCTAAACACTTTGGATACGAATTTCAATATCATTCGAACGATGTTAATCCTAATACACCAATTATTCCAATTCCGGAAGAATGTAGATTTTTACAGGATAGATTTAAAAAACACGAATGTGGAGCATACGATTATGATCAGCTTACTATCAATCGTTATTTACCTGGTCAAGGTACTAATCACAAAAAAGATAATCAATACTCTATTTAAAATATTTATCTGCTTTATTTAGGAATACCTCCACACATTGACTCACATAGTCCTTTCAATAATATTATACTTTCTTTATCATTGGGTTCTTCATGTATTATGAATTTTAAAAAAGAAAATGCGAAAGTCAATGTTGTTCTACCTCGTCGTTCATTGTTAGTTATGACTGATGAAGCACGTTATGCCTGGATGCATGGAATTTCTTCAAAGCATAGCGATTTAATTGAAACTCCAAATGGAATGGTAAAACAAATGCGAGGTATAAGAACTTCATTCACATTTCGAAAAGTACAAAGAGGTCCTTGTACTTGTAAGTTTGTTGAATACTGCGATTCAAATAAAAACTCTTTTTCTTCTTCTATAAACAATAAGTCGGCAATGGAATTAGAACAATTTTATGTACATAAAGTATGTATAATTTATTAATAATGTAGATTTATATATTATAATCTAATGCAAATTGTAATTTTTTAATCGTATAAAAAATGTTTTTAGGTATACGATGAAATCTCAGATCACTTTAGCGAAACTCGAAGCAAAGGCTGGCCTAATGTAATCAAGTTTTTAAACAGTTTAAACGACGGCTCATTAATAGTAGATGTTGGTTGTGGAAATGGGAAATATCTTCAAACCAATGAACATATTTTTAAAGTATGTGACAAACGATTATAAGTGTTATTGTATTGTTACATGATGTTTGTACAGTTGTCAATTTTAATTTAACAGATTGGTTGCGATCGAAGTTCTAAGTTAACAGAAATATGTAGAAAAAGAAATTTCGAAGTACTCCTATCCGATTGCTTGCATTTACCATACAAAGACAATTCAGTAGACGGTGCAATAAGTATCGCTGTTATTCATCATTTGTCGACTGAACAAAGAAGAAAAAAAGCAATCTCTGAAATGATACGCATACTCAGACCCTATGGTAAATGTTTGATCTATGTTTGGGCGAAAGACCAGAACAAAAATTCCAAGCAATCCAATTACTTAAAATATAATACTAATAAGAGAAATGATAATGATAATAATGCATGTACATTACAAAAAACTGAACAAAATTTGTTACTTCCTGTACATAGAAATCGAACAGAATTTACTCACAGCGATATGCTTGTACCTTGGAAAAAGAAAAGTGGTGATCATTTTCTCAGGTATTATCATCTTTTTGAAGAAAATGAATTGTCAATGTTATGTTCAGAGATTCCTCTGGTTTCGATCAATGATACTTACTATGATCAAGGTAATTGGTGCATAATTTTAGAGAAGAATATATAGTTGTGTACAAAAATAAAGATACTAAATAAAATTGTTTTTGATTTTATACTTTCTGTTTACTTATATTACATATATATATATATATATATATATATATATATATATACATATATGTGACATTATGTCATCATATATATGATATGTATAGATGTGATATGTATATTCACCTCAGCCAATAGCATTCACGTAACACTTTAAGGTTGGTTTCCATCGAATAATTGATCGTTGTGTATACTTTAGTCTAAATAATATCGCCATAATGCTATATCTTTAATTATAACCTATAATTTTTCATAATAAAATAATATATTTATTTTTAATTATTTTAATTATTTTATACAAAAGTATTATATTTAATATTTGTCATTATATTATATAAAAACTGTTTCTTACAAATAATGAAATATAAATCATATTATATACAGGGTGCGGCCAAATAACCTGTAATTTCTTATGAAAAAATAAAAATTAAAAATAATGTGTATACATATTACATATAGTTATAGACATGCAGCTAATAGTTAATAATTCTAGTGTTGTGATTGGCTAGATGAAATAGATTTGTTTACTGTGTTTGTAAATGCATTTCTACTGACCGAAAAAATACAAAGAACTGTTTAAAATGATTTAATAAATATATTGAAACTAATGAATACTTGTGGTAATCTACAGTGCTTTGTTGAACTTAAATACGAACGATAATTTGAAATATTCGATAGGTTAAAATAATTATTACCAATATTAATATTCAACAAACTGTGAAAATGCCACCGAAGTGTAAATTTCAAGAAGGTATATTTTTATATTATTACATAGCTAGAATAATTATTTATTTGATGTATTGTCACATATGCTAATTTCATTTTCTGTGAAATAGGTGAAAAGGTATTATGTTTCCATGGACCATTGATTTACGAAGCCAAATGTTTAAAATCATCCATCACGAAGGAGAAACAAATTAAATATTTTATTCACTATGCCGGTTGGAATAAAAAGTAAGTATAAGAGATAAATTCTAATTTGACTACTCTCATTATGAATCCTAATTTATATTATATTTAATTAATAGCTGGGATGAATGGGTGCCGGAAAGTCGTGTATTAAAATATAACGAAGCTAATGTACAAAAACAGCGTGAAGTGCAAAGAGCACATTCTAATCAACAAAGCGCACAAAAAAATAAAAAAGGTAGCACAGGCTCCAAAACGCAAGGAAGAAGAAGTGATGTTGGTAGAGAAAAAGATACAGATAGTAGAGCTAGCACACCAGTAGCAAATGTTGATAAAAGTATTAGTCGATTTAGTAAGAGTGCTAGTAGTATCGTTACACCTTCAACATCCCATGATACTCCTACAACTGAGGCACCACGCAAGAAGCGCAGGTTTGTTATTGAAATACTTTATTCTTTTTATTACAAATATGTTTTGAAAATAATAATAGTAAAATAAATTATATTATAGCCGAATAGAGCCAACGAGTGAAAATGAAGAATATCTGACTAAGGCTGAAGTTAAAATTAAAATACCGGAAGAATTAAAATTTGTACTGATAGATGAATCGGAAGTAATATTAAAACATCACAAATTACCAGTCCTTCCTGTTAAGAATACAGTCGATAAAGTTTTAGATGATTACGTAGAATCAAAGTCACTTGGAAAACCTGAATCTACTAAGTTAGTTTTCATATAACCTTTTATTATTTATGATGAAAGATATATTATAACAATAAAATGTTTAATTTTAAATACTCGTTTCAGGGAAAGCATTATGGAAATAACTAAAGGAATTAGGGATTACTTTAACATTACTTTAGGTCTTCAATTATTATATAAATGGGAACGTCCACAATTTATTCAGATGATGAATGACAATCCAGATGTTTTGCCCAGTCAAATGTATGGAGCGTTTCATTTACTTCGACTATTTGGTAAAGATTCTAAATGTCTTATATATAATATATATAATTATATTTCCTATGTAACTATAATATAGTATATATTTATTTACTATATAATTTTATTTCCGTTTATTTTCAGTTAGACTAGGCGGTATGTTATCCTACACTACTCTAGACGAAAGGAGTATACAATTATTGCTATCTCACTTTCATGAGTTCTTACAATACTTGCAAAAGAATCATGTCGAACTATTCAGTTTGCAACAAGATTATACAGATCCTCCACCAGACTATCATCGAAAGTACGGTTAAGAAAATTCTAAATAATTAACATATTAAATCGTTTTTATCGAATGATCGTAGTGTACTGCAACGGCTTACATTGTTAAAAAGAATTGTAAATTATTGCGAATTTTACAATTTATTTTATAGTAGATATTCGTTAAATCGCCTGATAAACAAATAATAATAAATATACTAGCGGAAACAAACTATTCCTAATTTTCATAGAATTAATTAAATGGTTTATTCTTATAGTTGATGTCAGATGTAATAGTGAGATACAAATTGCATAGAAATTTTTATTATAAAAAGAAATACGTAATACTAAAAATTGCAAAGAGCAACAAATTAACGTCAGAATATAAATGAAAACGACTTGATTATTATTTACTTGATATATCTTTTTAAATTAAGTTATTTCATTTTTTATCTAAAATTTATTATTTTCTTCTTGACAAGCTTACATTCGAAGATAGTGAAGTGAGAAAGAAGTAGGTTAACCAATTAGAAATGAAAGAGAGACTGATTAGCCAATCGGAAACGAAATGAATGGAGTCTAGCCAATCAGATATGAGAAGTAGAGAATTGGACTAATTAGAAACGAGAATAAGACAGTTGAACAAATCAGAATCGAAAGTGAGTAAACAAGAAAGAAAGAAGCAAGAAAGAGAGAGAGATAGGATGGTGAGTAGAGTGAGAAGGGTTGAGAAAAAGTGGGAAATAACAAAACAAGATGTCCGTATCAGCAGTCGATAAGAGTTTATCACGCAACGCGCTTAGCATATACGTTTGTAAGCTTTCTCTCTCTTTCCGTAAACGCGCAAGCAAAACAGCCAAGTGCCGAGGAAACCCCTACTAACCGTTTCACGAGCGTCAGTGTGCTAGTCAGTGGCAAGAAAAAATGGCGGATGTCGACTTGAACATCGACAGCCTCATACAAAGATTATTAGAAGGTACGTGATAATGAAAGAGTACTCGCGAGAGATCACAGTGTAAGATTATTAATATTAACTTCGCTTTCGATTTCGCAAAGAGGCGTGCTTTTATTCGTATTAAATAATCACATTAAATCGAACCAAGTATTATCGTGTCGCGTATTACTACTTCGCAGCAGCAACAGCAGCAACATCAGTGTACACAACTTATTTTCGAGCGAGCGCGACAAATCGAACGGTACGCGTCGTCCCATTTTATCTTTTTGTCATTTTACTTTTGTACGACTGATACAATGAGATATCGTGATTAATTATTTCAAAGTTTAGGGGAGAGTTGTTCGCTCGCTCGCTCGCTCGCTCGTTCGCTTCTACGTATATACATATCTATTTCTAGTTGAGAGCGTCTTTTTCACGTTATGTAGGAAGTTATTGCTTAAGAAAAAAGAAAAAAGTATAGATAGATAGGTAGATAGATAAATAGATATATGGATAGATAACAAATAATGCGATAAATATCGATCTCTTTTCTTTTAATATTTTTTCAGTATACAGAATATATATTTTAAAAATATTTTTTAATGTGAAATGTTTGATCAACCGAATATATTTTGTTTAGTTTTAATAACTAGAAAAAAAAAACGATTTTTTTCTGTTTTTCTTTCTGCCTTTCCTTTTCTCTTTCTCTTTCTCTTTCTCTTTCTCTTTCTCTTTTCCCTCAATCTTTTTCTCACTCTATCTTTACCTCGACAAAACGTGCATCGTCGGCCCTTTCGATGCTTCCTCTCAAAGTGTACAACACGCAGAAAGACCAGGTTCAGAAGAAAGCCAAGCTAAAAGATATTTTCTCGTCGGATTTTGTCGGTATGCATATTATACATTTAAAAGAAAACCAAACCACGAAATCCATGTAGTTGCGCTATTATGTATACTTCGTTTTTATTTTTGACTTATAATATTATCTTTTTCTTTTTTTAGTTCACCCAATTTTCGCTTAATCTCGTGCGTCCTTTCATAGCAATCGGGGTAGACGCAAAAATTATTGTTGCAAAAGAGATTCCAACAATAATATACGGTTTCTTATTTTATATTATTTCTTCTTTTTTTTCTTTTTCATTTTTTTCAGCCCTTCGTCTTTTTCGCGCTCGAAAGCTTCGCGCAGGAGACACACATGCATATATATACATATACATAACTTATTTATTTTATTTACAACAGCATGTACAATGGCGGAAGCGTGGAAGGTAGTTATATGTCTTGAAAACCGGTTAGCAATATCGTTTTTGTTGATTCTTTTCTTTCTTCTCTTTCTCCCTTTCTTTCCCTTCCATTTTACGTAAGTACTTACTACGACTTCTTTCTTTCAGGACATCTTTCTTTCTAATTTCAATTATCCCGCCATTTTTTAATCCTACCTACAACTGAGTCAAATCAGTAAGATGAATTTACGACGGAAATGTCCTTATTTAGTCTTAATCAACGTAGTATCGGAAAATTTTATTTAATTATGTGGTACATGAACATGTAACATATAAAATATATATACAAAACGCGTTCACACATTTGCAAATAAATAGACGATATATACGTAAGAGTTATTCGCTTGTAAAGAGTTGCAGCTCGAATAGACGCTTTTATGATGCGTGTGCAAAGCTTTGCTATTTTATCCTCGATAATGGACTATGCCAACCATAATAATAATAAGAATAAGAATACGAAGAAAGTTTATATTCAAAAATGTCCGAAGTTTTGAATTTTCTGTAGCATCTTTCAAATGCTTCTATAAACCTGCATACGCAAGTTTAAATTTTCGCGGGTTATTTATTGAATACGTAATATTCGTTCTTCAAATAATATCCCCTCCTTTTCCATCATTTTTGTTTGTATTATCGAAGAGTATAAAAATATATATATTTATCAAGATTTTATTCTTATTTACTTAGACTACGTAACTAATTCAACGATAAGTTGTTTTTCAACTCTAGACAGATTGATTTCTATGTTTATAAATAAATTAAATCGGTTAAAAAGAAGAAATAACACACTTGTACACATACATGTATGCATACATACATACATACATACTTACTTACTTACTTACTTACAATGTTAATAATGATAATTAGAAGAATATTTTGAAATGATGTCATGTTCGTAATAAGAAATAAGGTAGGAATTGGGATGGTTGTAAAGAAAATGATCTAAAAGCGTCATGTAAAGGTGTTGCTACAATGACATATGAGCTTACCTTTCTCCCACTTTACGTCTTTCCTAACATTACTCTTTTCTCTCCATCGCCTATCCCCTCCCGATCATATCGTTATTCACGAGGCGCGAAATATACGTCGAAGTATTGTTCGCGTGAACGAACATCATCGATCGTTACGCGTTCTTTTTGCATTTTTACCTGTACGAAGAGATCGCTGTTATGCTACCTTTTTACATAATCACTCTTTATTATCATATGTATGTATATATTAAACATTTACTTCTTTTCTTTCTTTCTCTCTCTTTAATTTTGTTTTCTCTCTTTCTGTGTTCCATATTTTTAGTTGTACAAGGTCATTTATTCGTAATGCCGTGATATCTCAATGCACGTATATTTACACATATACAAATATATATATATGTAAGTGTGTATGCATATACGTCGTTTGAAATAAAATTCTTGCTAACATGGAGAGGATATATGAAACTCGTTCTTTCTGGAATGAATATCGTTATTGTCGTAGGTGGAGAACGATAATAGATTCTTTCACTCATATATAAATGCCATATATGTGTGAGTTTGTGTATTAATGTATGTGTAAGCCCCTGCTGTGTTTGTATTATGTATAAACCATTATATACACTTAACTTGATAAAGTCTAACCTTTATAATTCAAATTTGTTTCTTTTTTATTAAATAGGTTCTAGCATTATTTCAATATAAATGAATTAAGTGAACTGAGTTTATAGATAAATTTAGTTAGATAAATAAAAGTTTATATACATATAAAGCGTAATCTGCATATTTGATAAATAATTTATTATTTTTTATGTGGAAGATAGTTTAGACGATTATTTGAATATAAATGAGTCAGACAAATACAGGATAAAAGAAATTGACGATTCTGATGAAATAAAAAGTCATGTAAATAATAATATATAATTCATTATTATTTAGAAAGATAGGTTAGACTATATTAAATAAAGTTATAATGAAAAGAGTGTATGGGCAATATATATTGACAATTAATTTCATAATAAGAAAGAAGTGTCCATTCATTCATCTGTTCATCTATTAGTATCACAAGGGTGAACCACCAAGAGAAGTTATTTTAGCAAGTGGGATTTTTTTTTTCTCGAGGTTGATTTGTCAGTCCTATGTTCAACCCTTACATTGGTTGGCTTGTACGACAAGCAGGGGATATTCTATTTTTGACTCATAAGGGAAGAAACATGAACAATAAGTATTATATTTAAAGTAGAATATGCTCGATGCTGCTATTCGTGATGCTGCCTGCTAATAATCGTATACCTCCATTATCGAAAACTAAAGAACTAATGAAACTCTATAACAATCTATTGGAATAACAAATTATAATTTATGTGAACACAGTAAGAGGATGCAGACCGGGAAAGACAGTAACAATGTCCGAGGGAGAAGTACGTGGACTTTGTTTAAAGTCCCGTGAGATTTTTCTTCAACAACCGATACTTCTGGAATTGGAAGCACCTCTTAAAATTTGCGGCGACATTCATGGCCAATACACGGATTTGTTGAGACTATTCGAATATGGTGGATTCCCACCCGAGGCTAATTACCTTTTCCTTGGTGATTATGTTGATCGTGGAAAGCAATCTCTCGAGACGATATGTCTCTTGCTAGCTTATAAAATCAAATATCCTGAGAATTTCTTCTTACTACGTGGGAACCATGAATGCGCCAGCATTAACAGGATATATGGATTTTATGATGAATGTAAAAGAAGGTATAACATAAAGCTTTGGAAGACATTTACCGATTGCTTTAATTGTCTACCAATAGCCGCCATTATCGACGAGAAGATTTTTTGTTGTCATGGTGGCCTCAGTCCAGATCTTCAGGTGATTTCATCGTACTTTTATTTTTTATATTTTATTTTTAAAAATTGTTTCTATAATGTACAAAATTTTATTTGTATATTTATAGAGTATGGAGCAGATTAAAAGGATCATGAGACCCACAGATGTACCTGATACTGGTCTTCTTTGCGATCTACTTTGGTCTGACCCTGATAAAGATGTTCAGGTAAAATAAATCTAAATGAGTCCTAATTTTTAATTTATCTTCTAGAGAGTAAGACAAATATTTTGGTATATTTGAATTTAGGGCTGGGGAGAAAACGACAGAGGTGTTTCTTTCACCTTTGGTCCAGATGTTGTATCCAAATTCTTAAATCGTCACGATATGGATTTAATATGTAGAGCTCATCAAGTTGTCGAAGATGGTTATGAATTCTTTGCTAAAAGACAACTGGTCACTCTCTTTTCTGCTCCTAATTATTGTGGAGAGTTTGACAATGCTGGTGGCATGATGAGCGTCGATGAAACATTAATGTGCAGTTTCCAGGTATAATAATGTGTATATATATATATTTAAAAAAAAAAAAAAAAGAAAATAAACCCACATATTTATATTGGATCATTATTCTGAACCATTTTTAATCAGTAGTTTACATATTAATAAAATAAAAAGACATTGGTCTAATAAATAGAAGTTATTTACAACAATCGAAAAGTTAAATAGCAAGAATTTTTAATTTTGTTTTCGTGTGCAGATCTTGAAACCTTCAGAGAAGAAAGCAAAGTATCAATACGGTGGTATGAATACCGGTCAAGCAGGCAGACCATCTACACCACAAAGAAATCCAGCGAAAAAGAAATGACAGCCTTCTGACCAAAATGAACAATTAGTATTCTCTTTATTGACAGTGCTGAAAGGTAAGGTTTGTCTATTTACGAGAAAAGGTCGTACAGATTCGACGGGACGATAATCTTTTAATCGCAGAAACTAGTAAGGACTTTATTTTCACGTTTTTCAGCATGAAGACGTCGAGCTCGATCTAATCTATCCTAATCCGTTAATATATAAAAGATAAAGTGTGCGTAAGACGATTACTCTTATTTTTTATGTTGATTGCATCTTAAACGTGAGATATTGCGGTTCTAATTATTCACAAACGATAGAATTTATTTCTGTTCATTTTTTTGTTTTTTCTCCGTTTCTTCTTTTTTTTTTCTTTTTCATTAAACTAGGCGACGTCTACGGTTCTTTGAAAAAATACTTTGCATTTTTTCTTTACAAAGAAGATAATAGTCTACGATTGATAACGGCACAGAGAAATCTACAAGACACAATAAATTAAATTTTATTGCAATAACTTTGTTGTTTGTTTTCGATTATATTTATGGGAGATATAATAATTCTCTTATGTTATGATTTTCCATTTATAATAAATTATAAAATGATTATATATAGATATAAATATATATGTCTATATATAATAAACATATATATTTATTTTTTATTTTTCTATATACATATGCATATAAATATATATATATATATATTTAAAGTCATTGCAAATAAATTGTGTTCTAACATTCTCTGTAGCCGTTGTAGTTATTTTTTTTTTTTTGGTCAAGTATTAATGGTCCGGAGAACAATTTAAAAGTTTAATTAAGTATTTATTGCTTCCATGCTTGTGAGTTCAAAGAGCATCAATTCTAGATTGATCAATGTCCGCGTTGTTTTAGAGATTTTTTCAACTAATTAATTACTACCATTATTATTATTTATTGTTATCATTGTCCATCATGCAACGTTATTCATAGTCATCTTCATCATTATCATCGTTGTCATAATTATCATAATTATCATTACCATCGTAATCATCTCATTGTCTTTATAATTGTTATTCTCATTATAAGCATTGCAGTTTATTCAGTTATTAACATAATATAGAATGCTGCAAGTGTACATAGTAAGAAATGTCTGTAGCGTTTATGTTCTTTTATTATCTTTTATTTCTCTTTTTCTTTATTTTTTTTTTAACTTTTCATTTTATTTTTTTCATTCTTATTTTCTCTTGTTTAAAGATCACATTAAAAATATTATTGATTTTAATATTAGCAATCTCTGCGATAATATTTGATTATATGCATACCGAGGGCACGTTCAAAGATATCTAAATATATATATATATATATATTTTATTTATATTTTTTAATCCAATGTGAGTTGGAAATATATGATAAAAAAAGAGATGAGAGAAATGAAAACAGCATTTCTGATAATAAAGTAAAGTATTTACTACTAATTATCATAAATGATGTTTTTTATTGCTAGGATATTATGTGTGCGAACAAATGGGGGATTTAAACAAAGGATTAAGTTCAAATATGAAAAGTTAATTGCTCGAGTTCCAAGCAGCACAATCATTCTGTTTAGATTTCTTGTCGAAAAGTGCCAAGTTATTGAAACACAATGTGCAATTGATGATATGTGGTTGTGATCCGCTTGGTATTTGTTGACATGATTTTTCTTAAGACTAATGAGATTCAAACGTGTAATGAGATTTTTCTGTAATTAATTAAATAACAAATTAAATAAATAAACAGGTAATATAAATGAGGTCCTCGATACGCAATTGACAATTTTTATGTTAAAAAAAAAGGAACAGAGAGAAATTGTCTTTATTTTTAATTTTTTTTTTTCGACTAAAATAAAACAAAATAAATGAAAAGATCTTTGAACGTATATATACTTATCTCTTCCATAAAAAAAAGAAAACAATAAATAAATCAATAACATGAAGTTTATAATAATATCGGTACCACGTAATTTTTGATTTCTTCGCATTTCTAAGTTGCCATGTTGTATAAATAAAATGAACGATCGATAACGAAGCCACGCTCGTTAATATGCGACGTTACATTTTCTACACGTTGATTCCTTCCATTATTATTATTAATTTAATTAATTACGAAATATAAGTAATTAATTATTATAAATGAAGATATAATTAATAATATTATTATTAGAGAATGTCACATACTCTACCGCTACTATTATTATTATTATTATTATTATTATTATTATTATTATTATTATTATTATTATTATTATTATTATTATTATTATTATTATTATTATTATTATTANTTATTATTATTATTATTATTATTATTATTATTATTATTATTATTATTATAATTATAATTATTATAATTATAATTATTATAATTATAATTATTATAATTATAATTATTATAATTATTATAATTATTATTATTATTATTATTATTATTATTATTATTATTATTATTATTATTATTATTATAGTTACTACTATTAAATTGTAGAGAAAGAAATTTCTTTTTAATTGCATTCTTAATTGCATTTTTAATTATGGTATAATACTAAATATTACCGCCTGTATTGTTTTACTTCTTTTATTATAGCGCTTATTATGAAGTAACTATAAATATATTTTATAGTTTGACATTTTTAATTAGTTACTTGATCTATGAAGCGTGATCAGCCGAGAGTGAAGAAGAAGAAGGATGAGAAGGAAGAAAAACAGGAGGAGGAGGAGAAGGAGGAAGTAAACAAAATGGAAATATTTGAAGAAAAGCAAATATACGTATATACATTCATACATATATATAAGTCGATAATTATGAAAGCAGTCTAAAGTCGCATTTAAAATATTTCAAAGATATAAATATATTTTTTTTCACAATGTACACACACAGATATATCTTTATATTTTTAAAATTGTTAAATTACATAAAAGAATGAGTAAACGGTCTCATCTCGTTGAAAAATACTCTCGTTTCCGTTAGATCACTAAAATTAAGGAACGATAGGCTCGATTAGTAGTTGGATGGGTGAATGCTTGAGAATACAGTGTGCTATTGATTTCAGGAAGGTATGTTAAGGCAGCAAAAAGGCATTGTTAAGGGCTCTTAAACCTGTAAAAGGGAGAATAATGAAAACATACATAAAAGGATATTTTTTTTCAAGAATAAATAATATATAATATATAATAATATATACTTACTTTTGTTTTTGTACATGCTTGTGCCTCATTATAAAAAAATCTTCATTTCAGTTCAAAATATCTCAAAAATTAAAAAATGCTTACAGATCGCTTTCATAATTGCTCTTTTATGTATATATATAAAGATTATGAGGAGATATTTCCTTCTTGCTTACATATATTTCTTTTTCTTCCTCCGCTGTGCATCGTCGGTTACTCGTGGAGATCATGTAACCATAAGCGTAATTCGACGTAATGACGACAACAATAATTGCAATGGCAATGTTTAAAAAGATCATTTTAAATAAAGATAAGCCAGCTGTTGTTGTTGTTGTCGTAGATCAATTGAAAATAAATAAGTGCAAGTTTGATGAGCAAAACAAGACCGAAACTTTTGGTCTTCCCTCCATTTCCCACGCCCATTTACCTTTCTCTCTTTTTTGATGAATGATTAATAATGGAGTGGTTGTGATTCCCTTGATATGCATTTTTTGTCCCAGATTCATATATTATTATTATGTTTTTATATATATATATATATATATAAAAACAAAATAAAATATATATATACTATATTTGTAAATGGGTAAAAGTCAATCGTGATTCGTCGATGGATGGATCATTTTGTGAAATTTGAGAGAAGATTAAGGATTAATTACGAATATTTGCATAAACTAAGTTAATGAAAAGATGACTAAATAAATAAATAAAAATAAGAAACGATAAAGAGAAAGAGAAAGATAAGACCATCGATCGAATCTCGACAGAAATGTAGCCCAACGAGTAATTTAAAAAAAACATCCTGAAGATGTAAAACTTTCAAATAATAAACGTGCATATTGTTGTACATATCTTTTCTTTCTCTCTCTGCAACGATTCATTCATTAATTATTATTATTATTATTATTATTATTATTATTATTATTATTATTATTATTATTATTATTATTATTATTATTATTATTATTATTATTATTNATTATTATTATTATTATTATTATTATTATTATTATTATTATTATTATTATTATTATTATTATTATTATTATTAATATTATTATCATTATTATTACTATTATTATTATTATTATTATTATTATTATTATTATTATTATTATTATTATTATAATTATAATTATAATAAAAGGGTCATTTTTAATTTAGAATTAATTATCAAACGAAATACAATTAGAAATGTTTTTTTTTCCTTTTTTTGTTTAATTTTTCCAATAAGTTTCTGGCAGTGTTTATTATTATTTTATTCTCGGATATCACGAATGTGAAATACAATATATTATTATTAATTATTATGTTGTAGATCGTGTTTCGAGAAAATATTAATAAATAAATAAAATTCTCATGCTCTCGAGTTTTAATATTATTGTTCTGTTTGTTTGTTTTTTATTTTTAGGATAAGGAGTAGAGAGATATATAGAATTTTGTGTTACTTTTGTTTTTGGTTTTTTTTTTTTAGGATTCCAGAGACGTAAGCGTACTTCCTTTTTTCCTTGTTGATATTGTTGTTGCTGTTGTTACATTTTTATTATTATTATTACTTGTTTTAAAATTTTTTTTTAATTTTCTCTTTAGTTTTTCATTCTCTTTTTCACTTCCACTTTGCATACGTCACTTCCTTCTTCGATCGTCGAGAGATTCGTTTAACGCGTTCCATACGGGGCGACATATATGTATGTTTTTAAGTTGGAGTTGAGTTATCAGTAGACGTGAGCTAAAATAAAATAAATATATATATATACATATAGTATTATTAACAGTATTCATATTAATTGAAAATAAAATTAAAACAAAATAAAACAAATCAAAAAGAAATAAATAAATATATATATGTATTATACAAAGAAACACATAATCAAATAAAAAGTAACAAAAGAAGACAAGAGGGTAAGATAAATTAGATAGAAATAAATAGAAATCGCGATAAGTAGAAATTCGCGATGATCGGTGAAGGTTCGTAAGTCCCTTCTCCTATTTTTTTTTCTTGTTTCATATTCATTTTTGTATTTTTTTGGTATTTAATTCTTTTGAAAGAAATTCACACTTTCGTAGATTTTTTAGTTTTTAAATATCAATATGATATCCTATAAAAACATTAGAAATATTCTTATTTTCGTTTTAATCCTTAAAAATTATCGTTGATGACAATTTTTTATTTTAATTTAAAAACAAAATGTGTGTAAAAATACGCGAGAGTGCATCAATCAAATAATGAAAATATTTGTACTTATTTGTATATATGTATAAAAATATATCAGAGATTAATCAAATGAGAGAACAAACTTTTTATTAAATATCAATTTTTAAAATACAAAATATAAATATATGTTGTATTGAAATTTATTTAATAAAAAGAAAATAATAATTTTTAAGGATTTAAAAAAATATCGAATTAGATATTAATTTTTGTAGGCAAACATTCACAATTGATTTTTAGTTCGAATGAAATGAAAAGAGAAAATTAGTTGGAAATACTCGAATGAAATTTGTATGTAAAAATCGAAATTCTAGGATAAATGAATTCATTTAAATGTCTGTTAGATAAATGACAATGAAAACAATTGAATTCTTACGAAAGTTACGTACAAGAAAACACTTTCCATATCGTTGATATTATTTCACGAACATAAATATGATTACCGAATATTTGTATAAATATAAACTGTTAATATTAAGAATGGGGAGGACAGTTTTATGTATGTGTATTTAATTGTTATTATTTATATGTAATTTAGTTATAATTTATTTAACCCTTTCGTTGTGGTATGTTTTGGTACGACCTCTAAATGGGTCAGTCGTTCATACAGACCACCCATATATGGGTCACTTATAACGAAAGGGTTAAAATTAGAAAATATAGATTTTTTTTATGATTGTTTCTTTATCTTCGTCATCATCACCATCATCATCGTCGTAATTAATGTTTTCCGGTCTTGTTTTTGTTTCCTATTTTGTATTGGTTTTTTTTTTGGAAAACAACAATTTAAAGTTTAATTAAAACACGCACGGACAAAACTTAAGGGAGTAAGATGGTAAGAGAATATTAAAAGAACACTTTACGATGGTCATGAATTTTTCGTTTGATCGCTCACATTTTTTTTGTTCGTTTTGTTCATTTTGTTTAAGTTCTTTTCATTGTTCTTATTTGTTCTTAATGTTTATTGTACCACGGGCTGGTAAAGTGATATACTGGAACTGGCTGCGAATAATAGTAGTATAACGCTCCTGAAACGACAGATAGATTGTTTTGTTGTAGAATATTATTCCTTCGTATTTGAGATTCAATCTCTAATCTCTTTTCTAATACAATACCTTGCTGCACGAAGCACAGGTATTTGTACTTTTAAGAAGAAAAAATATTATACGAATACTCGTGGGTATTATCAAAATCGTGATTTTTTTTCCCTTAGGGTGATTATTTTCGATGCGTCAAAAATTCTTTCAACATCGATGATGTGATTCGTCGATTATGAAATTAAATTATAAAGAAAGTAAAATAAAAAAATAAATTGAAAGAAAATATGGGAAGAACAATTCTTAATTTAAAATGCAAATGTATTATTAGAAAAAGAAGATGGAAAAAGATAGAAAAAAGTAGATAGGTAGAAAAAGATAGAAAAAAGTAGATAGATAGAAAAAGATAGAAAAAAGTAGATAGAAAAAGATAAAAAAAAAAGATAGAAAATTAACCCCTTAAGTTGCACGCTCGAGTTAACTCGAGCGGCGTTGTACTACGTTGAACCAAAATTGTTCCTTAAGGGGTTAATATATCAAAGTCGATATTAAAATATATTTAAACATACCAAGCGGTCTAATAGGATGTCGGCTCCATAAGTAGCTACGTTTAATTGGGCTAAGGTAGCTGTCCCTCAGGTAAAACGGAGTGCTGTATTGAGCATAGCTTGGAATATAAGGAGCATAACTTGGATACCACCAAGGGTCTCTCGTGAAGGCACTGATCGGAGCTGTTGGAGATGGTTCTAGCAAATCCATAAAAGGTTTCCTACGAAGGAACGATGAGTAACTTGGGAAGATATCATCGGTTAATAAGTTACCTAAAAAATAAGAGAAAAGAAATAAAATTATTTTAATTTAATAATTATTACTATATTAACATAAATTATATTAATAATTTACCATGGATATCAAAGAGTTTCTTCGTGCTGAGAGGTGGACTTATGTGTCGAGCAAGCAATGGAGACCTACTCGGGTAAAGTTTGTCGATGTCAGCCAAACGATTCAGATGATCGGTCCAAGCTTTCTCAGCGTCAAATGGTTTCGCTGTGTATTGACATTTTTATGAATTTATTTAATTCCATTTTATATTATTATTATTATTTCGTGTTAACAACTGGATAATCTTTTCACCGAATTAAATAAATATACATTTAATTTATTGCTTCAATTATTTCAAAGAATCAAGTATATCCAGGTGTTAAAACACGCTTGGTTCATTCGCTTAATGACAAACAATTCGAAATTTGTTTTATATCCAATTACCCAAGTCGTGAATTATTATTTGTTTATTTAATTTTCGAATTATTTATCTTTATTCGATCTATTGAGTAGGTCTATTAAATTTATTTCTTGAATTTATTTAGAATTTCTTTCGATAATAGGTAAAAAGATCTAATTCGTTCGAATTTTCCATTATTTCATGAATTAGATATTTTTCCTAAATATATATTATAATAGACCTACGTCTATAACTATAATATTCGAATTAACATTCCTGGTAAGAAAACACCAATTCTCACATAGCAACACTAAAAACTACTGACGCCAAAAATTGTAGAAAATAATTTTATTTTATTTTATTTTTTTTTTTTTAAATGTATATGCTTCTTTCGTTTGAACGATGAAGAAAAGTCATTACAGTTTGACTTTTATTTGTTAATATTATTAATTAACATTTATATTCAATGCTAGATTTTTTCTTATTATTTGTATCACATTGTATCTATCGAAAAAGTTCTTTTATTTTTATTTTTGATAGAGATAAATCTGTAAACATTTCTTTTTTTCGATTATTCAGAATTATTCGTGAATAATTAAAAAAGACGAAGAGATAGAATATTTCAATAAATTTAATACGTTTAACTCTTTCATTACGATATGCTTTGGCAAGAGAATAGTTTTATATTAAAATTCGATTGTACATGCTGGCCTTTGCATGGTTTTTGGTAAGGAAAGGGTTAAACGTTAATCGAATTAATTTTTTTTTTCGGCGCTTCCTTTTCACTCCAACGATATATTTGACGTATATATATATCTTTTTTTTTCTTTTTTTTCATTTTTACATGTACATGTACCGATATTTTGAAAATATTTTTCAATTTGTTTAAAGAAAATATTTCTTTCGTAATATTTTTTTCTTTCTTTTTATTTCCAAAATCGTTTCTCTCACGATCGGTAAAAAAGTTACTAACGACGAAGCATCGTAGGCATTTGCGTGAAATTTTGTTCTAACATGCTTTTTTTATTCTACTAATCGAGTTAGTTTAAAATACAGCGGTGGTTCTAACAATTTGCAAATAGGTATTTTACGATGGTTATAAAGAAGAAAAATCATGCAACCAACAAATACTTTGCCACATTCCCGCGATCTTTAGTTTAGGTGAAATTGATTTTTTATTTTTTATTAGAATATTTTCTTCCTTTTTATTTTTTATCGTCTGTGCAAGTTAATAATTAACGTCAACGCTTTTTTTTTTTTATCATATTCTGTAATTCTAAGCATATTTTATTTTTAAGATATATACCGAAAAGCGATTAAAAAATGTTGACATTAATTATACAAGCCTTGTCGGATTAATTAATTTTAAATACAAAAAAGAATTGAATAAATATTGTTATCATTATTATTATTATTTTAAGAATTTATTATTTATTAATTAATCCGATAAGATTATTGGTAAAAGTGTGAGATTAAATGTGAGATTGTTTCGTTTAACGTGCTCAGAATTAGTTTTTAAATTGAACGACGTAGCGTTAGAAGAAAAATAATAAAAAATTTTATAAGCCGTGCTTATAATTTTCTAGCATATTGTTGTTGTTGTTGTAAATTCCGATCAATGACTTTGTAGATCGGAGTAAAAAGTGTGAGCGTTCATGATTCGCTACAAAATACGTCACGTAAGGTGAAAAAAGCATACTAACCTTGTGGAAAAAAGCTGCTTCAAAAAAACCTCGTCCTCTGATTGAGAGGTCACGAGAGACAAAAAGCGGCGATGGTCACGTATCCAAAAAAGAGTAACGTTTCGGTTTTATTTCTTTTTTTTTTTATTTTATTTTTCTTTTTTCTTTTTTTTTTTTTTATTGGTTTTTGCTTTTTCGAAAAAAAAAATTCGTTCGCTACGCTGCGTTCATAAAAAAAAAAAAAAGATTAATCATCGAATTTTGGGTGAGTGAGTTGCGTCGAATTCTACGTTTCTACATCATCTTTTTTCTCTTTTCTATTTAAAAATAATTTGATGATTAATTTTGTACTCATTGTGAACGTAAGTAATACGTGTCCAAGTATTTGTCTAATTGTATTAGCGTGTTGTTATAATAAAATCAAGAATTAAGTAATCTCTTCTATGTCTACTTCGTTAGGCTTTATATTTTATAGTAAGTTACTATAAAAAAATATTCGAATATGGGTCAGTCGTGGGCAATCTTTTGCAAATTTTATATTTTAAACTTACGATAATAATAAATAATAAATAATAATAATAATAATAATAATAATAATAATAATAATAATAATAATAATAATACTAATAATAATAATAATAATAATAATAATAATAATAATAATAATAATAATAATACTAATAATAATAATAATAATAATTATTGATCACGTAAATCTTTGCCCACGACTGCTTGGAATGTTTGAAAATGAACTTTTATTTGGGTGAGTATCTTGTGCCAAGGTGTTCGAGTGTTTGCAAAAATTATATTTTATCGATCTTATCGATTATGATCGTCGCCGCGACAGCGGTAGTTAATTATTTTGCGAAAAGATTTTTTTTTCTAAACTAGGATTTATATATATACATATAAAAGAGGAGATTATTTACTATAGGTATTGTTGGATATTATAAATATAAAAAGGGCCATCTCGAGAGAGAGAGAGAGAGAGAGAGTAGGTAAAACGAAAAGAAAACATGCCGTTTCCTGAAAAAGACAGAAATTTCTGCTTACCCCTTGATCAATGAATTAATAATTATGTTTCGTTAATATTTGCCGTTTGTTAGTAAACATAACCGTTTTATACGCGTGCATGTATCATTATTAGAGCAGATTATTAAATAAAAATATGCAATTGATTTTTTTTTTTTTTAAATTTTCCTTTCTTTTCTTATTCTTTTTTTAAAAGCGCGTTTCGTTCTAAATTCTCTCTGATCGTGTAATCAAATAAAACATTAATAACAATTGGATACAGGTATAATAAGAACATTTAAGTGTTACCATTAATCCTCTATAATAATTTTTTGTTTGTTTTAAAATTTGTGCTTGTGTATTAAAATATCATTTTTTTATATATAAAAAGTTATCAGTCAAAGGAGAATGACGTCAAAGGAGACATTATAGACAGTTGTATTATGTATACCTGAAGTCGATAAATGATTTTATCAACGTATTTTATACACTCTGTTTTATCTTAGTATTATAGAGATAATAATTAATATATAATTTTTATAAATTAATATAGAGGATTAAAAAAAAGGAACAAATATAGTAAATCACCAACGAAAGAGAGAACCAGACGAAAAGGAAACGATTCTAATATAACATTATCAGCTGAAATTTCCAGCTTTTTCAAGTATGGCTTTTCTACTGATTGTTCATTTATTAAAATTAAATAAATATCTCCGCAGATCTCTCGTGTAAATCTCTTCTTCTTTTTTTTTGTGTTTGTGTGTTTTTTTTTATTCCTTTTTCAGTTGAATTCGCAACTAATCGCATTCCCTTCGCTCAGAAAAATCATTCGTTTTCGAGCTTTGATTATGACACATTTGATTTAGATTTTTGTAATGTTATTTCCGTGCGTCCATCGTCCATCTGTTTTTTTCTTTTTTTCATTAGTTTTAATTTCTTTTTGTTTTCTTTTTTATTTTTGTTTTTTTTTCTTTCTATTTTTTTCAATTACATCTTCCTCTTGCACTGAATTGCTTAAACATCACAGAGAGATCACGACGCACGTTGTAAGAAGACATTTGTTCTTTTATTTTTATTATTTTTTTTTTATGCGAAGACTTCCACCGCGGCTGCAATAGTTAACAATTTTACTTTGAATGGATACAATTACATAAATAAATATAAATAATATATATATATATATTTTTCTCTCTTTCTAACTAAATTCTCTTCAAATGTTTCTCAACCTTTAATAATTAATTATTAATCAATTAATTTAATACTATATTTATATATAAAAATAAATAAAATTAATTAATTAATCAATTAATGAATCAATCAATCATCGCGTTTAATTATTCTCAATGAAAATGAACATATAAAACGTTATGATAATTGTGCCCTATAAATGGGAACGATAAAAGGCTATAAATAACAAGAGAAAAGAACAAAAAACAACAACAATAACAACGAGAAATAAATTAACAAATCGCGAAATGTTCGTGGTAGTGGTGGTGATAATTAATAATTTCTAAAACGTTGATGGAATCGTGTTCTATATGTTATCGCTATTTCTTCCCTTCTTTGCCACTTTCGAGCTATTTCTTGACGCCTAAGATCACTCAGATCGAGGCTGCGGTTCACTATTTGCAACTTGCTTGGCCTAGTTCCTGGAAAGAAATTAAAATCAGCCACAATTCTTTTTCTCCTTTTTTTTTTCCTTTCTTTTTGCTTTGTTTTTTTTTTGTTTCTTATATTGAACTTTCTCTCTATCCATCTCTCTCCTTTTTATTTAAAATGATAGGCACAGATACAGATGGATGATGTGCAGGTACAATGAAAATGATTTATCGATTCTTATTCGATTTGATTGATGATTTTCTTTTTATTTTTTCTTTGAATATTCTTTCATTTTTCTTTGTGACGCTGTTTTCTTTTTTTTTTAATATTTTTATTTTCTTTATCTTGATCCTTGAACATGATTTTCTTCGAGGGACGACGAAGAGACCACAAATCGTCGCGATGAGATACAAATAACTGGCATACATACTTTGATAATAATTAATATATGTATGTGTGTGTATATATATATTTTTTCTCATTTTGTTTTTTAAATTAATTATACGAAGTTTACATATACGTAAATGACGAAAATCTTATATCGTGTATGCTCGTGCATTACGCATACACATTAAAAAGATATACATATATATAAATAGATATTATTATGGTATATGAGACGTATATTAAGTATATATATATATGTAGTATTATTTCGATATACTTATTAAGGTACAAATAAGATAAATTAGTGAATGAAAATTACACGTGTATGACAATACGATATAATGTGGAAGGTAAAAGACGATTATTATAACAAATAAATATGTTAATGTTCGTTTTTTTGTTCTTTTTTTTTTAGTACACAGTTATTAAATCTTTTTTCCACGTGGAAATTCGAGTATTAACAAAAGACATGGATGTGAGTGATTGTTCATGTTCTTTTTTTTTCTATATGTGTATGTGTATTATTTAGTTGGACTTTTAATAATATTTTTTTTTTCAGATCGAGACATCGAGGTATCGTTGATTTTTTTTTATTACGTCGAGAGAGATGGTCAAACGATAATGCATGCGATGATGGTTCTGTTTATATTTTATTGAGATCTCTCGAAACTTCATCGATTTATTTTTGCCTTCCAATTGAAATGATTTTATTTTTAATTATTTATGAACGAAAAAACGTAGATCTTTTGGAAGGTCAAAAATAAACGAGAATTAGCGATTATTATCGCGTCTTCGTGTGTTCTCGTTCTTATGTATTATTTAAACATATAATTTGTTGAAGAATAATCGTTCAAACAAACGAATCTTCGCAGTTGGACTGGTCTCTATCGCGTTTTCCTTTTTTGATTTGTTTTCTTTTTTTCTTTCCTTTCTTAACTTTAATCACTGATTAATTTTCTTCCTTCGAGCTCTACTCATTTATACGTAACCATAAATGATTACGTGTGTATGTATAACATTAGAGAAATATATACATATACATATATATACATTTTTTTTGTATGCAATGTGTGTATATATGTATATGCATATATATGTCTATCGTTTCGTTTCGCGCTTCGAGTTTCTTTCAGACGTCGTTCATTATTCTTTTCTTTTTTTATTTTCTGACTTTTTCTGATTTCTTTAGTACGTACCAGGGGTGAAGCGTTCTACGGGTTTGTACTGGTGAGGGTAGATTTGCCTTGGTGAATAACCGTAAATCTCACGATGAACGGGCATGTACCTTAATAAAAAATTGCAATTCATATCAATCTATTTTTTAAATGTATTTTTTTTTTTTATACATTTACACAATGGTTTTAAATATTTTTCTTTTATTCTACGTTATATTAACGTTTTTACCGATACTTTTATCGACATTATCGACATTGTTTTTATCGACATTCTTATCAACATTACCGACATTATTTTTATCGACCGAGTATATGGTAAGGTAGCGGGAAGTAAATTTACCGACACGAATTACATCGATATTTATCGAAATTTTTTGCAATTATTCTGATGCGGTAAATTTGAATAAATTAAATCGATAAAATGTATACGTAATGCATACCTATATCCAGGGGTATTGATACGGTCAGCCGCATGAATAGGATTTTCAAAAATCGATTTTCCAAATGGCCAAGTAGGCGAGGTGGTATGCAACTCAGGGTAATCGGTGCGGAAAATACTGCGTGGTCTGTGCGTATGTTCCGGAGCTCTGATATCGTCGGTACCTTGATTATAAAACATACGAAGCAAATAAGAATAAATAATTTGATTATTATATAAACGGAAGGAGGAAAGAAAAAAAAATATGAATTTGATGTTTTTCTTTTTACCTTTCAGAGCTCGAACGTAACTTTGCCAGAATTTTGCTTTTCTCGTGATTGGCTCATTGCGTCCGATCATGTCGAGATTGCTCCTGAATCGCGCATCCATTTTGCCGCTTTATTCGGGTCGTTTACCACGCTCGTTCGCTAATATAAATGAAAAAGTTTAAACGTTAGATTAGATTAAAAAAAGAAAATGTTTGATCTGTAATTATTGACATTATGTATACTCGAACATTTTTTAAATAATCATGGAAACCGTACTTCCATCAATAGGAACACGTATCTGGTAATTTATAAAAAAAGAGAAAAATTTAGGAATGCGAGGTATTACTATTGGCCGAATTTTTAAACACCCTACGTAACCTTTATAAGTTTTCTATTTAAATTCCCTCCCTTTCTTTCTTTCTTCCTGTTCTTTCTATTGCATAAGCAAAAGTTAATTTTAAATCCGCCTTCAGTGGGCCGAAGCATATGTTTCTTTAACCTTGCTACGCTAAAGACATGGTTTTTTTTCTCAGCACCATAAGCGTGGAATAATATAACATTCCAATCACACATCAATACATTCATTCGTTTATTAGATCAATACTATGTATTCTTTTTCTTGTTTATTTTAAGTCGTTGGTTTCTATTGAAATTAATTATATTAACACGCGTAGAAAAGATAAAGAAGAAATTTATTGAGACAGGTCTCGAAGCGCAAACGAGTATTAAATATCGAAACGAAATCATTTTTTTGCCAAGTCATTTTGTTTAGATGAAAAAACAGTAGCGACATTAATGGGAACAATAAAATAAAATAAAATAAAATAAAATAAAATAAAATAAAATAAAATAAAAATAAAATATAGATATATTTAATTTTATCCAGGCGTCGTTCGCGTAAATTGAAATTTATTATAGTTAGCTTTTTTCAAAAGGCACGTTCCGATTGGCAGCCACGTTTTTTAGATCGGCCAATCAAAGCAAGCGACACAAACAGTAGCATCGTCTTTTCTTTTTGTTGACGCAACGTGTTTCTCTCTTTCTCTCTCTCTCTCTCTCTTTTTCTTTCTCGCTAATTTTAGCAAGTCTTACTACTCGCTTCATACTCGGCCTCGATCGTGTTCGCACGCTTTCAACTACATGCGTGTATTTTAAGGTGGAAAAAAGTATTATGGACGATGACGAGGAAAGTAAAATTTAGCATTTCTAAATTCGATTTTAATACGCATTTTTGATCTCACCTATAACCGTGTTAAATATCGTACTATTCTGATATTATATTTCTTTCTTTTTCTTACGTCTTTTCATAGTGATTTATAATATACAAATTTATAATTTATAATTAAAAAATACGTATTTTTTTTATTTAGTTTTAAAAAAAAAGTTATCAAAATTACCCTATCGCGATAATCATTATCGATAAGAATGTTGTCTACTTTTCCTACATTTTAATGTCTGAGTTTCAGGAATAACTCACAGATGGCACTACATTGCAAAATTTGAACGGCCATTAGTATTTTTTGAAAAGATGTCGGGCAATATGGATTGAGCGAAGAAGACACGATTTAATTCTTTGAATACCATCTAAATGCATCAAGAAAGGTCAAGGTAAAAGTTTCTAAATTTTCACTAATTTCTAATACAAATGAAATCAATATTTTTTCTTTATATATTACTAAGAGTTTATATTTTTCTTTTTCATTTCTCTCTCTCTATCTCTCTTTTTTCTCTTATGTTATGTTATATTATATTCAAATCTCTTTCAAAGAGATTAAATAAAAGCTTAAAACGATGATCTTTAATCCAATGTCGAATAGTAAGTGCCTACGAAATGAACAACGAGCAGTGACGCAAGAGTCCTGGATTCATTCGTCGTAGTTGTTATATTTAGTCTGCCCGGGCCCCAGTCCGTTTTTAGTCGAAAACAGGTGGAAGTTAGAATCTGGGGAGTAATAAGTAGCATACTCGACGAGTTTTACTCTGACTTTGACCGATTTTCGCGAATTCCTTTCAACCAATTTCTCAATACTTAGAAGAAACTTGTTCGAATCATTCAGTAATTTTTTTTTTTTTCCTAATCAACCTAATTTTCGAATCTTTTTTAAGATTATATTGAAAATCAAGAAGAGATATTTAACGAAGTTATAAGTATTTGAAATTACAAACGTGAAAGATACCGGAAATGATAGGAATATTCAAAGTATTCAAATAGAAAAAAATGTAAATTTAGAAAAATATTTTTATAAATTAATCATATCCTATCTTACGATAATTTTTCGAAGAAGAAAAAAAAGAAGTAGAAGTAGAAGCAGAAGCAGAAGAAGAAAGAGAAGGTGTAATTTAAATGCCTTCTAAAAATATACTCGAAGCAAATCATCGAAGACGATATAGATTCCTAAAAAAATTGAAAAATCTTCCGATGAATCTAATACTCTTTTAGTATTAAGGCGTCGACACATATACTAACGTGCACGCGTACACAGGCAAGTAAATAAATAATTTCCCTATATAAAATTAATGTGAAAACAGGGTTCCCGTTTGATGCGTCATGGTTGCGTCATTTACGGAACGAGAAGGTGGTGGCACTTGAATTAGTTGGAAAAAAAATCGCATAATTTAAAGTTTTGGCATCTCATTTTAGGCACGTGCCTAATCCTAGTCCAACTAACGATTGTCAGACTTAATCGACACACCTTACTTGTACATCCAACAGCTTAGCCAAAGTTCTTGGCCCAAAATGTTTACTTAGCCAGGAAGACTAGGATCTCTTTGCCAACTTGCATAACTTTTGACAAAACGTCGCGAATTATGCGATCTATGTATTACACGCTTAAAACGCTTCAACTATTTTATGAATGAATTCAAATCGGCTGAACAGAGAGAGCGAGTGAGATATAAATTAATTTTGTTGAAAATAATTTAATATTCTTATTCATTAAGGTTGTAAGATGATTAAACAATTGGATCGTTTAAGTGTAATATTAATTTGAAAATAAGTTTACATTTTGATAGAATTAACGAAAAGAAAGAGAGGGAGAGGGAGAGAGAGATAGAGAGAGAGAGGGTTGAGAGTGAGAGGGCTATAAAAGACGTCTTGGATTTGGCGTCACTCGGTCCGCCTAAATTCTATTCTCGTCCGACGTTATAAATACGCAGTCTTTCATTATGTAAGAAGTTAAACAAAGCCTTGCCAATTATTATAAACAATTTGCTAGAAGAAGTAGAAGTTAAAGAAGAACAAGAAGAATAAGAGGAAGAACAAATGTTATAACTATGACGTTTGTATCACGAGCTTTATGAGATTGAATTTAGAAGTGTGTCGTATAATAATCAATGATATATTCTCATTTCAGGATGATGATGAAATGTCTTTAGCAAAATCGATCCTATGGTTAATCTTTAACGTATGCATAAATGGACATCATTTCCGGTATTAGACTAACGAAATTTGTAAACATTCAAAGAAGAGTGAAACACGATGCTCTCTCTTACTACGTTTAGTTTATCATTGAATGACGTACACAGACTGGCTACTAATAGCGACTACCATTTATATATATATATTCTAGTATTTTATTAGATTTTATTATTAGGATTATGCTTAGCCATTCTCTCTCTCTCTCTCTTTTTCTCTCTCTACCGATTAGGTGTTACAAATTTGAATGTTACTTTGCTTGAAAACTTTATAATCACACAAAACTAAATATTATTTAGGTTTAATGACTGCAAACACCTAATCATTAGAGAAATTACGTAACTTGCGTGATTAGAATATACTAGGAATTATTTGTTAGGATTTATTACAAGCAACGTCATATTTCACACATATTTATTAATATAATTACATAGAAAAAAACAGTAAAAGAAATAATAATGAAGAACAATGATTCAGGAATGATAGCGGTGTTATCAATATGAAGGATTAGCGAAAATACGAATTTCTTTCTTAGTGGAATTATGAGTAGGACTAGGTAAAAAATGGCCAAGCGACTATTTTCCTTCAATTAATATCTTCACGGAAAATACGGTATTTTCTCAAACTTTTTCAGCTGAATTGGTCTCTTCAGTGTTTCTTCAACTCCAAGCAAGCCGTCAGTCAAATGAGCACACTCGCGGATTTCGCTAATCTCGTTATTTAAATATATTTACATTGTATGTATATTTTTTTCTATTTGTTTTTCTCTTTTTTTATATAAAATTTACCCATACAAAAAAATGAATATAATTACGATTATTATTTATTAATTATTAATTAATTATTAATTATCATATTAATAATAATAAAATAATAATAATAATAATAATAATAATAATAATAATAATAATAATAATAATAATAATTATCTTGATAAACTCGAATGAAAACTCGCAGTAATTGTTGTCCGAAAAACGCAAAACTTGTTTTATTCTGATGTCCTTTTTTTCTTTTTTCTTTTTTTGTTTTTTTTTTTTTAATTGAAATTTAATTGAAATATTTGTCACGAATTGATCGATGTAAGAAAATGTTTACCTAAGAAGTTCGGATGACCGTTCGGTTCGGGATTCGGACCTTACACTGGACGGCTGCCGCCAAAAATGTGGACTAGTATACCGAACGTCGGTACAGTGGCGCCGATCTGTCGGCAAGTTTTCGCGGTCCTCTGCGCGACATTTATGGCACAACCCCCGCCAACGTTTCCTGATTGGTCGATCTTACCAACGAGATTCGAAGTATTCGCCTTACATTTACATATTCGATTGTATTATTTCTTCCTCCCCCGTTACTTTTGAAGATGTTTTTTTTGTTTTGTTTTTGTGAAATTACTTCCTTCCTTCTTTGATTATTTCCTTTCTACATTCTTTTATTTTCGATCTTCTAGTTTCTAAAGTTTTGTATAGTATCTTATGTTGACTCATACATTTATAATTATTCCAATTTTCTTAGAGTTTTTCAATGATAATTTTATTACAGTTACTTTTACTTTATTTCTTTAATTTGTTCATTGATTTGTTTTTTTTCTAAATGCATTTTAAGATTTTTAAAAAATTTGATTTATAATTCATAGATATCTTAATTTATATTAGATATACGTTTAGTTTACGTTGAACTTATTTGGTATGAATTTAATTGAAGATGTTTTGTATTTTAGAGTAAGATGGTGGGACGTCGTGACGTCACAATTTAGCCATCCGCATTTAGGAAAATCAGAAAGGCTGTTAGATATGTTTCTTCCTACTCTCGTGGGAGTCTATTTTCGTTGACCCGTATATGCCAGTGATTCGTGAAAACTAGCGCGTTAGTCCTGTTAGAGTAACACCTTCATTTCTTTTTAATGTCAACTATGCACTCGTATGTTGCATTTTGAAGAATTATTGAACATTATCAACAAAAAAATAACATGAACGTAAATTATATTTTTATCTAAAACACATCTCTCATACACACACACGACAAACACGTATATGTGTACATAAAGTCACAAGTTTATTTCGTATTTTTATAACAAGCGAATCATCAATCTTACTTGTTTGCTATAGCACCTATAAACGTTTAGTAAAAATAGCACGACTAGTCAAGACGATTATTCGATCGATGAATTTAAATTGTGATTCGATCCTTATTGATCCATAGATCTATTTATTCTTAAAAGAACACTCGTGAGAGAAAACTCGTGATGATTATACAATTTGGATTTGTTACAGTACAATATTATGGATTAGTTTAGATGTTTACACCGACTTACAACTACGTCAAATTTAAAATATATTCATTGTGAACTTTAGTTGTTAATAGAATTATTTGCAACCTGTTTACTGTTCCATTTTTTAAGTTTGAATCCAAAAGAGTAAACACATTTATATACCAGTAAGATACTTGGTATATTTAAACTTGTTTATAGACAAAAACACTTTCAGATTTGTATTACCGAGAATTTTCAATCGTATTAAATTTGCCATTAATGTTTAATTCAATTGAATAAATAGATCTATTCGTTATAAACGTTATAAATAAAATTCTTTCAAATATTATTGAATATTTATCAATAATATTTACTTCAATCTTTTCTTCGTTTATAGTTTTATTTATTTTCAAAATACTAGGTTGTGACATACATTCCCATTTTACCGTCCCATATTCTTTATTAACAAAAATGTTTTTTGCAAAATATTTATCGCGATGCAATATATTTAATTTGAATATAAGAAAATAAATAAATAAAAAGAAAAACACAAACGAAAAATAGAAGAATAAAGGAAATAAGTAAAGGAGGACGGAAGAAAGGTGATCTTTTTCGATTTGGCACTTTTGATAGGTCGACCTCTTAGGACGCTATGAGTATGTATGTACCGGGTGTTCTAAATGCGAGGCTATTTTTGTAGTGTCTTCTTGTGTATACCGGTCAGACCCGGCAATACAGATATACATGAGAGACGCGTCGCATTTATTTTCAATTCGGCCACGGCCAAAGGGAGAAAGAGAGAAAGAAAGAGAAAAGAGAAAGAGAAAGAAAGAAAGAGAAGAGTACGGATACGATGACGATCGGCACCCATCAACAAGACTATGCCATGACACACGTTTAGAGTATGCACGACCGTGTCGTTTTAATGCTCGCGAGAGGTCGAGACCTTTAAGCTCTCGTGAGAATGATCAAGACACAGGTGGTAATGATTGTGTATTGCTAACAATAGTTAGAAATGTTTTCTTATTCATAGGTAACTACTACACTGTCGCATAACCAATTATTTTATTTTAAATGATTACTAACAGATATTACTATATTTAATTAAAACATATCGATAGTATAAATTTGTATGATACAACGTACCAATAGTTTATTGATTATTATAATTAGTTTAAATCGTTATACTTAAAAAATGTATTTTATATAAGTAATATTTATAATTAATAAGATATTAATAATATATTAATTAAAGGTAGTAAGTTGTAATTTACAATAAGTATAATTAGTTAAAATAATGATCGTACTATTGTACTTTACTTGTATAACAATAATAGTGATAAGATGATAAAACAAGTATGAAACTCGTGTGTCCCAAAATTTGGCTAACAATAAGTGACCTGCACGAATTAGGCTCCGGGTATAAACGTATTACAACATTCTATATCTTCTTAGCACTTGACCCAATTTCTTGATTCACGTTTCTCAAACTGCTTTCAAATTTAGAAATCCACGTTCAGTCTTGCTAAACGTGAACTGATTGAAAGTAAATTTTTTGCCTCAACTCAAATTATAGTTAAACAAACATGTTTTATATTGCATTAATTTACATATAAATAAATAAATAATTTATTTATTTATTAATAACAAATGAAAAATATATTGTTTTTGGTTATTTGCAAAAAGGTGAAAAATCAATATATGGGGAGCATGAGAGTTTTACGTCGTAAAGTCCGTCGGTGAAGGTTGATCCCAGAGTAAATTGAAACTTATGAGTTTTCCAACCCTCCGAAGTCTTCTTCTGGTTCCTCTTCTTATACTTTCGTCCGCCATTCTTCTTTGCCGTTAAGGAGATCACGTCTCCTTGGTAACTGATACGCCTTATTAGCTGTTCTCTCCTCACTTCGTACCTAAGTCTCAGGAGGATCATGCATCTTTTGCTATCTCCATTCAATGTGTCTTTTATCTTTCTCATTTTCTTCATTTTTTTTTCTTTTCTTATGTCTATCTATCCTTCATTTTTTTCTCTGTTTATCTCACTTTCATTTTTCATTTCTCTTATATACACAATTTATACAATTTGTATTATTTCTTTTAGATATTAGAAATGACAGCAGCCAGCTACCGAATTATATGTCCATGTACACATAGGTATCAATGAATAGGGCCACAAATATAGGACATTGTTGAATCCCAATAGATATAGGAAAATATCAAAGCTATTCAATGACATTTAAGCGATTTGGGTGGGCCACTACCGTTTTTGGGGTGTCAGTATTCATTGAGAGAAGAAATTTCGTGACCGCAGACCATTTCAGAATTTAGTCTGCTGCTATACTATTACCCCCATGACCAACTACAATAGCTACCGAATCTACGACGGATACAAATATTTTCCTCAAACGTGATTTCACGCACTAACGCTTCTTCTCTATAGTCTACCTTTGGAAATGTATGTTAGGCTTATTTTAATAAGCTAATACACGCATCAATGATATTTAGTAAAACAGGACAAAATTTCGTTTATCCAAGGTGATTAGGATTATTATTACATCATCGATTCGAATAATGTTTTATTTTCAAAATAGAATAGAAGAAATAGAGTCTGAGATTTTTCTTTTTCTTTTCTTTTTTATTTTCTATTTTTTTTTTTCGTGAAAAACTTGTGAAAAGGTACACACTTTATACATTCCTTTTGTTAGGATGACATCTGCTCATTGACAATGGTAATAGGCGTGAAATTCAGCAAATTTGTTAGAAGAAGCCAAAAGGACGCTGACAAATTCTAATTTATGGGACCCTAAGAACAACCAGGTGTGGTCCTCTTGGATCCATTTCAAAAAACTTGAGTAAGAAGAAGAGACTATCACAGATCATCTTGAACTTTTTGTTTTCCAAATAATTTTGTTCATTTATAAAAAATTCGAATACAATAGGATTGTTAAGAACAATTAGAAATTTGTTGCTTCATCGTTAAAATGTATATTTTAGTTTGAAACAATTGCGTCTTTATATACAACTGACTCATCTTTTAATCGATTTGACAGTTAATATTCGCATTTAAATGTCCAGTTGATGTTCCCATTGTCTCGCCTTTTGATTTCGTCTTTGCCACGTATCGTTTTTATCGAGGGTTTAATTAAACCTCATCAATCTTTATTAGCCAGGCTGCCTTCATATCGACAGCATTGATTTCATGACGTTAACTTGGAACCCTCGGAGAAAAGCTAACTTGTGTTCTATAGTACCCATGAATACGTTTATGGGGCATCGAAGGGTAGTGCACCCTGCTAAGTATTTCATCATGAATCAAGTTAAGACAACGTTTATAGAAATAATATTACTTTTTTATCTTTTACATAAAAACATTTATTATATACAAATATTCTAATTGAAAATCTTGACATATTTAAGAAAAATAGATAATATAATTTTATATCTAAATGTTTTGTTAAAAATAGAGAATTTAATCATAAATGATACATCTAATTTAGTATCAGCATGAACCCTCTTTAGACCTTCCTATATAACACCACACCTTTTCCAACCATTATTTCAAGTGACTTTGTACATTTTTGATTACCGTTAAACCCTCAAAGGGTATCACAAATAAAATTTCATTCTTTGCGAGGTGTAACCAATAATATTATTAAACAATTTAACCATTACATTATTGATAACATTAAAACAAATATTCTAAACAAATGATTACATATATTTATATTAATTTTGTTTTGATATTACTTTCTAATATCGTCAAAATTTTGTAAAGGTTTAAAATATATAGGATAAAATGAAATATGTAATTTATAAGATTATTAATAAAAATATTCTATCAATAAAGTTAGATGGATATGATTAGGGTAGTTGTCGTCGTGCATGTTGAGGAGAACTAGATTGAGAAATAAATAGCGTAAAAGCTCGTTTGCAGTGTCTTGTAGGTCGTCTTTCACATGGTAATGACGATCGTCCAACATTAGACCGCCGAGTCTAATATCGACTAACGTAATCCTGGCTTAGGCCTTAGAACCCTCCCATTTCACACTCTCTCTTTCTCTCTCTCTCTTTCTCTCTCTCTCTCTCTCTCTCTGTCTTTCTCTCACAACCGTTTACTTTAGCTTATGGTACTGGTATAGAGCAAAGGGTCTCGCCTATATGACAAGTATATTACGCCATGCGTTTATATCAATTAGCCCCTGACGTTTTGGGGGTGTGCTCACTCGTGAGACCGATTCTAAAAGGGCCCTTTCCTCTTTCCTACCAAACCTCTAAACGAATATTCCCTTTTGTTTTCTTTTACGTCTACACTTTTGCAATCAAAACTCATCAAATTGTCCCTATAAATGTAATAAAACAAAGAAACTTATAAGAATAAAGTTGTTACATAATTATTGATCTAATAAATAAAATTCAAAGTATATTAATAAAAATAAAATATTAAATTTAGTTATTAAAATCAGTTTTAGGATATCCGCTTTGTTACGTTATTTCTAAGATTGTTGTTGTTCGATCGATATAAAAGTCGAAGACAAATTTGACATATGCCATTGTAGTAAAAATTTGTAAGAAAAGAAGGGAACAGATAAAAAAAAAAGAAAACAGGAAACACGCCTTCTTCTATCAATAAGAGAGTGAGTGAGAGAGAGAAAAAGAGAAGACTTACACTGATAGATCTTTTTTTATTAACGTTTCCTCCTTCTTTCAGATGGCTCTTAACTATGGACGACAAAGAAGTCTCCTTCTACCAATAGACCATCTCCTTCGAGTTTAAATCCATTTAAACGGGCCCGACGATGAGGATGCTATAATATAATACCGGTTACACGCGATCGATGGTATTGGATCCACTGGTGTTACTTAGCAGCTGGTCTAAAAAGAATTTTGATTTATCGTTTCTCTACCTCCAAGTATTTAGGGACTTCCTATTTCGATCTAGCACGATCAACAACAGATCCTAAGTATACACCATATTTTTTTTTCCTTTTCTTTTTTTTACATTATCAACAATTCAATACTTTTTATTAAATATTTTTGATAAACAGTACAGGAAGAGAAGGATTTTATTTTTGTAAAAAAAAAACTTAAGTATAAAATATTAATAATTGAAAGGATAGGGAAATGGACAAGAAAAATAAACTCAACTCGTGCACTTTTCCAAATGAAGGCATAAACATTTCCTTCTCATCGATTGCGACCTCGTATTTGCTGCTTGACCAAGCACAAGCACATGGCTACTACTAGATAATACTGATCAACAAAAAAAAAAGAAAAAAAGAAAATAGACGAATAAGAAGAGGAAGAGAAAGAGGAAGAGGAAGAAGAGAAGTTATAGAATCTTTGGATGAACATAATCGAAAAAAATAGAGAGTAGAGAGAAGAGGGGTCGTGTCGTTTAAGAAGAGTAACTAGGAAAAGTCGAAGCTCATGGGCGTGACAATTGGCCGGATGTGTTTGCCATTGTTAAAATTGTGCGGTCCTGTCCTGTGGCATGCTACTTCTTCTATTGCTATAAACCTTCGATCGATTTCGAAGAAAACGGCTGGAAAACTTGTACATTGTTGGATTTGACGTTAAAGGGACTTGTCGGTTTGCTAAATACCTACCGATAACTTTTCTTTGTTGGATCAGTTTGAAAAGGTGACGATCTTTTGATAAATTTCAGCCAATTTTTATTGGATGTTTAGTTCAATGCTTGTATCTATCCGTATATATATATATATATAGTATATTCGTTTGTTTTATTTGATTTTTTTTTATTATATTTATAGTTGAAAAAAAGTACACGCCAAAATATGTTCGTTCAATTTTATCGTATCGTTTAGTTTCCTTATTTTCTTTTTTCTTTTGCAAATACTAAATGGATCGAATAATTTTATTAATAATAATCTTTTTTTTTTGTTATTATTTTCTATATAGATCCCGTACGTATACAAATACGCATATAGATTTAGAAGCTTTAGAGAATTCGTGAGACAATAGGATACAGACATGTACGATGAGCTTCCACGCAAGCTATTACCTCACTTCCGCTAACACAAATCTGCACTTTAGTTGGCGTAAAGCTGACACGATGTTTTTATCTGAATCTCTACCTACCACCGAACAACTTATTCAACCCTCCGATATAAGTTAGATATCGTTGATCGTTTCGTTAATATTTGATAAAGTTCCAATAGATCTCCCTCTTCAATTTGCAGATTAAATTGTCGTGAAATTATCTGATCACTATGTTAGAAACTAGTCGTGATAAGTACGTTGATATTTTAATATTTATAAATACACACACTTACGGTAAATTTTAATTTAATTTTTTTTGTTTAAAACATTGTATTTCATTAATTTTCTTTATAATCTTTTATTTCCATGTTTTTACTTAAACCAATTATACGCAGAGTAAATTATTTAACAATTTATTTTAATCATCGGAAATGTCTACTTGTAAGATACAAAACAAGTTCTTCAAGAACTTAAAAAGCTTAATGAAGCTTTTTCCTTGATAATGTTTCTTCTTGGAGATTAATTAAATGCAATAGTTCGTGCTAATATAATATTAGTTGCGTTAAAAAGCTTTTAATATTATACGAAACGTTAGAATTTGCCTTGACGAGTGGCAAGTTCAAGAGAGATACCTTTTCCAAATAGTTTTCTTAGAACGTGTCAATTATTTTTATAAAGGCTCCTTGCGTGTGTTAAATAAATGATTTTTCTCAAAAAAATGACCTTGGAAATGATCCAAGCGCAAACTATCTTATTGTGCAAGATCGGTTTGTTGCACGAAATTTATTCAAATTTTATTTCATTCGCGTTGAGAAAAATCTTTTTTTAACACTTTTATCGCAACTTATGACCTTCTGTTTATTGTTCAACAAAAAGTATTTACGATTGAGTACAATAAATATTTAAATGAAACAAATCGTACGTTTAACTTATAAACTACCATTATTATTACTTCCCATATGATATTGTGTATTATTGTATTATAAAATAACTTATCATTAATTAAATATCAAAGTTGCAATTAATTAATTTTGAACATACTCGAATACATGCAAATTAATAACAAAAAAAGAAAACCCCGCGAATTTTGGCTCTACACCTTATCGACTATTTAAACAAAAAATACAATTTGAAGTAAATAAATAAAGAATTAAGAAAAAAAAACAATCTTAATAATACCTTAATTATTTTGTTCTGCGCAGGATAAAAATCCGTGAATAAACAGTAAACGATTGGATAGTTGCCAGGAGGAATCTTCAGTAGAAGTACTCACTTCGCGGGAAAGGCTCTCGTTGCGTTCACTTACCTTCAGGAGGGAAATCTTTGGTGGTTCTGAAAGTAGGGGGGTAGATTTCACCCCCTTCCAATCCCTCTCCTCTCTCCCTCCCTGCTACTGGTAGCAGCGTTATCGACCACTGTCGCAAAAGCCACGCCTTTGCCCAGGTGAGAGGACAAGAGAAGTAGAACGCAAAGGGGGGAGGCCGACCCTTCACCTACCCTCCCCTCTAACCGCCACTCTTCCTTCCTCCACCCTTCATCGTATTTCTATCATTCTTTTTCATTTTCTGATGACGATTCTCTTTCTCTTTCTCTCTTTCATTCGAATTTCTCTTACGATGAAGAAGATCGGATGTTTGTGCGATGAATAATCGAACTGGCGGCTAAGGGCAACACCCAGAGCCCATTTTATCTCCCCCTTCCCTTTTCCCATTCCCTCATCCCCGAAAAAGCAAAGTACTATTTCGTTTCAAATACACTTTCAGCTTGTATTGTTGCAAATGTTTGCGTTTAACAGGCTTACCGAACAGGCAACTGCGTTTCCAACTGCATTGTGCCTGGATTTGAGTAAACGACGGCTTAAAGATGAGAGAGAAAGAGAGAAAGGGAAATAGAGAGAGTGGTGTAGCTTCTCACAGGAGGTGTCCTTTGGGACAAAATATTAGAAGGAAATTGAGCGACAAATCAATGCACGCGCTAACGCCAAACTTCAATGAACAATGTTTTCCATGACAATTTTTGGCTAGAGGCAAATCCTTCAAGGATATATAATCTTTAAGATTTTCGAACGAAAGAATATGTTCTACAGGGTGGTTTGTAATTCTATTACCATAGTTAGAGATTATTGATCAAGTAGTCTGAATTTCTTTTTTCTTTTTATTCGAATACAATCTTTGGATCAGTGTCAGAAATTGTTGAACCGATTTTGTCAAGTGATATTCGTGAATTTATCAATTAATTTTAATAATTAGTGATCATTTGTATTTTATTTTTATTTTTTCTTGTCGAAAATTTGTTCATGTAATTAATTTATAGATTTTAATATGTTCAAAGTAAAAAAATGATTAGAAAAAAAAGAAATAACAAGTGTTTTGTAATTCGAGTTTATAGATTGTCTTTTTTTTTCCACGGGATTTTCTGTACAAACATATGTCTAAATATCAGCATAACCATCGTTTAATGGTTCATACGTGTGTCGTATAGTACATTTCATTGTAAGTTGATGGAAAATAGCGAGAACAGGGCGTGGGAGTGTCATTGGTCGACACGTGCTCATCAAATTAGGGTTCTTTCAATTGGTACCGGCGAACGTTCGACTTTCAATGCTTTTTTTTTAACTTATGCTTGCTCATAAAAAAAACCATGACGATATCTTTAATATCAACTTAGCATAAAAATCGCATAGAATTTGTAATTTTTCATTTAATCAAATTTAAAAGGATCAAATTTTGTAAGTTTACGATTAATCAATACGAACATTTAGAATAATTAATTTTTATTTTACTTTATATACATATATTACTGTGTATATTTTTCTATTACAGATATTACTCTAGTATGCAAGCAAAAATTGAAAAAGAACTTACAAGAATTGAATAAAAGTTTATCGAGAGAGAAAAATTCAGAAGCATCGTGTAGATAAACAATTTCAAGAGTGAAGAAGAGGGAAGGAGAAAGAAGAAACGGAGCAAAAGATCAATTATGTGAAATCAAAATTTTTGGGATCGTATATAATAATAAGTAAGTATATCAATAGACGTAGAAAAAGCATTCTAGGGAATGAAAGGGAAGGATTTCTTTTTTTTTTCTTTCTTTTTCCTTCATCTCTCCTAGCTACTTTACACCAACCCCTAATTCAAAGTTGTTCTTTCACCCTCTTAAACGTTTCCTGGTTTCGCGGCTAAATCTGCTTAAAGCGAGCCGTCGCTTGAAAAAGGTCCTGCAACTTTTCTTATTTCCTTCTTTTTTTTTTTTCTCATCCTGTTACCATTTGCACACTGATTTACACGAGGATTTTTATCTTTTATTGAACGAGGAAGACACGCAATATAAACATTTCTTTTTTTCTTTTTCTGTTTTCAAAGGAATGTCATCGATATTTTTAACACATCTGCGAGATCGTTCTTAAATAAATATTATCTTTTCTTTTATTGGAATATTTCAAAGATATTGTAATACTCGTTGCAAAAGTTGTTATGTCAATTTAGATATATATATATGAGCCTAAAAAAAATGGCATAAGTCAATTTTTCAAAATAAATGGCTTATATATACGGAGTGTACCATTTAAATCGATCCATGAAACTGTTGATAGTAAATTAATAATATCAAATAATGTGTTATTTTAAATCATTCAATTTTTGTTTAACACATTGTTTTTCTATCATTAACAATAAACAAACCTCTACAAGTCGTGCATCGTACGAAATAAAATGAACATGTAAATATTTAATTTATCAACATATCATTTTTCATTTCAATAGTATCTCATTTCTATTGCAAAGAATTTGTTATTTGACATGATATATTGTATAAATAATATTTTCAAAAATATTTCTAAGAGACTTTTCACAGAAATAGAATGAACGTGCATTTCGTATATTATTCGATTCGTACCATGCAACTATCGTCTAACATATTTTATTTTGAAAATATTTAAATGAATCGATTTAAATGGGACACCCTGTATATATATACACCTCTTAACGTTAATTGAGAATGAAAGTATTGATATCGAGTGTCAATGTTTGGTCATTTTAACGGTTCGATCAAATTCCTGTTTGTCCAACTTTCCTACTCGTTTAAACCATTTGATACACGTGTCTAATACAAACCAGAAAACTCATACCAAACATACATACATACATGCGTATCCATAAATATACTTTTCAAAGAATCAAACGAACATTTGACAAAATTTTGTCTTCAGTTATAACGAGAAATGGGTTACGGTGGAATAAGGGGGTAGAAAGGGGAAATTAAAAAAATAAAAAAGGATTGGAAAGGAATAATCTATAGGGAATGATAAATAATTGAAAAAGAAATTAGTTTTTACGTTCTTATTCGGGATTTTATTGATTAAGTAATCTTAATACATCGCTGAGCCGCAATGTACCATAAAGAGAACGGAACCGGAAACGATCCATTCTTAGCGGGGAATATGCTTTGTCGGTGGTTGCTCGTCGCCCGGAATTTCTCCTTTGATTAATCTACTCTCGGTGCTTTTTCTACCCTCAAAGACTTATAATCTCAACCAATGCGATTCCTTCTGGCAAGTATCCAATACCTCCTCTTGCACTTAGCTTTTCATATCTTAAGAAGAACAAAATATAGAGAAAGGAAGAAAAAAATAGAATTCATTTTTTCTTCTTCTATCTTCTCTTCCTTTTTTATTTTTATTTGATTTTCATATCATAAATCTGTAAAGACATTCACTTTTACATTCTTAATTCTTATGATTCTATATAATTTATTTATCTCAATAAATTCAATTGAATATTCATTTTTAAAAAGAAATGGAAGAAACATTTTTTGTTTTCGGGAACGGACATTTATTTTTAATATTGCAAATCAATTAATTCCTCATAGACGTTTTTTTTTCTCTTATTCGTTTTTACAATTCTAATATTTTTTCTCTCTTTTCCTTTCTTTTCTTTTTCTTTTTTTTCTCCCTCTTTGATTCAATTGAATATAATAATTCGATAGAGAACATTCGATTTTCTAACGAAAAAAAGTAAGAAAAAGTGTCGAGGGGGTTTTAGACGGTGAAACTTGTTCGCGAAAGTTTTTCAATCGTCCAAACTTTCTGTCTGTTCGTTTATCGTACATCGAAAAGAAAGAAAGGAAGGAAGAAAAAAAAGAAGAAAAAAAATGAAAGAAAGAAAGAAAGAAAGAAATAAAAAGAAATAGAAATAGAATTGGCATGTCGAAAAATCACTAAAGAATTTTCCTATCTCCTTTTCTATATCACACTCTGACACAAGTAGGATAGCGAAGAATACTTTAAAAGAAGAGTTAAGTTTTATTGCATAATTCCAAAGTAAATAAATTATTATAATATAAATTTAAAAAAAAAAAAAAAAAACCAGAAATAAAGAAGAACTTATCAGGATAGTAAATCCATAACAATTAGAATGCTCTTTCCGGTCGCGTGTGTTCAGTATCCTCGAAAGTGACATCGGCACGTGCCCGAGTTTGATTGGCTTGACAACAAAAAAATATGTAAAAAAGGAAGACCGTATCCGGTGTTAGGTAGATCGTAGATTTACTATTGTTGTTTAACGACTGGTTACCATGAAATTAGAGTTTTTAGTCACACGACCTTCAAGGTCATCGAGATTATACGTGAAAGGATTGTTAAAAGGGTGGTGCTTTCATATTTTTTTCCCTTCTTTTTTCTCTTCGATTACTCCTCCTCCTTCACCATCTCTTTCGTTTATTATTATTATTATTATTATTATTATTATTATTATTATTATTATTATTATTATTATTATTATCATTGTATTTGTTAGATTTTATGGGAAAGAATAGTAATGTGACTGACCATCTAATTTTTAGTATGGAAGATAGAAAGAGATGGTAAGGAAGGTTCTCTTCCGTTTTATACGTAAGGTCCACCCCACGGAAATCAGGCAATAAAGCAGTCCGGAACACGGTCTTGCCCTTTCAACCCCCGTCCACTTCTCTACAACGGTATTGTCAAAGTTTTTTCGCTTTTTTTTCTCTTTTATCAGCCTTTTTCTCTCTTTTTCATTCATTCACTCTTTATCTCATTTTATCCTTTTTTTTCTTTCTTGATTCGCGTAGAGTAGTAGCTGCTAACACACCCCCTCGATTAGATTCGGAAATATTAGGGGACGTCCCGTTGCTCGACAAACTATCAATTTATTTTACTTCTATCGATTGGCTAGCAATACAATTTGTATATAGAAATGTATACCGTAAGTATTATCGTAAAGAGAGATATTTAAATTTTTTCTTTTAACATCTTCAATAAGTTATAAACGAATAAAATAGTAGAAGAATCTATAAGTAGGATTTAAAATGTTATACTACAATTTAAAATTTTAATATTATAAGCATTATCATAAAGAGATATTTTAATTTTTAATAAAAAGAATATTTAATTATAATATCATCTAAAATTAATAATAAACGAAAAGAAAAAGGGATGTTAGTAACGAGAATCGAATCTATAATTAATAGATAACAAAAAATTCTATTATTAATTTAAAATTGTTAATGAAGAAATTTGCTTATAGATAAAAAGCGTTCGCGATTAAACAACATTTGTAATTATTGTTGTAAAACGTACAAATATTTTCATAGTTTAATTATGTGAATTGTAGTTTAGAGGTTGAAGGTTGACGGTTGTTAGGTGGGTAAGAGGGGGCAGGGGGAGAGGGTAAAGGTCGGTGGACTATGTCCAAATCTATAGATTACAGGCGGTCATATAAATCATGGTACGACCTAGTGTAGCTGGTTGAATGTTATCTCGTGTTTTCGGTTGAATGCACAGTGGCATTTCGCAGGCCTCGACATCACATATTCTTCTTTGCTGTGCTTCTACGGGGGGGTGCGTTTTCGTTTTGTACATTACTTCTCTCTATTTCTTTCTCTTTCTCTTTCTCTTTCGAGAATCGCCACAAAGCATATGCCGGCCGCTGTCCACTCCATTTACTTCGCAACGTCATCATCTCTCGTTATGTATCATGGATAACGAGAAGAGATAGCAAATGTTAAAGGGACTCATCTTTTTTGGACCTTTTTTTATAGGAAATCTGGAAAGCTTTTAATATTCTCGATTCAATACATTTATTTTTACTCCCTCACACAATCACCCCCTTCACTTCTTCTTCCCAAAAACACGAAAATAAATATAATAGAAGATGTATATTAAATATTAATACTAATTATTTTATTGCGATCAGAATTATAATAATAATTCAATTCAAATAATATGATATAACGATTGAAACAAATATACATGTATATATATGTATATTTGTTTATATATTTATATGTGTGCCCATAATTATGAAAATGGTTTTTTAAGTTATATATCTTTTATTTGGAGATATTTAAAGAATTATATTTGAACAATAAAGGAATTCTATATGTAATATTAAAATAACAAACATTATCTGACTATTTATTTTTGACAATATCGTGAAAATTACATTGAATTTATTGAGTTGAAAAATAATGTGGTGTGAAATAATTGATAAAATAATTTTTTTTTTTTTAATTTTGACTTATACAGTTACACTTTCATAATAATAGGCACATATATGTACAAGCTTATGAATAAAATTCTTTCGTCAATTTTCAAATTTATATATTAGAATAATTTTTTATTTTTTAAATATTATATTATTAATAGAAGATTTGCAAAATTAATATACACGTAGGAATTTTATTGGAAATATGTGGATGGCATTAAAAAGTAATTAGTTAATTTTTAATAAAATACAATTTTTTATCTTGCTAGGGTAACGTAATTTGAAAATGTTTATGAAAATAATTAGGCATTCTCACAATTTATCCTGAAAAAAAAAGAAAAAAATTTTCTTCTCTATCAACGTAGAAGTAATAAAAAATGGAGACGATTTTTTTCGTAAGGAAAATAAATAAATGAGGATTTAAATAAATGCTCAATTGATACAATTGTTAGTACAAGATACCGTCTTAAAAGGCTAGTGACCCTTAGCAAAGCACGATAGGGGGTGCCTTCAGGAAATCTAAACCGGTAACAAGATGGCCGCGGGGAAACGGAAACCGGAAACTTGTCACTCAAGCTACGTTGGCTTCCGACGTGGATCGAAAAAAGGGAAAGGAAAGAGAAGGAGTAGAGAAAAGAAATATAGAACAGTAGCAGCCCTTTAAAAAGGGCTCGATGGAGATTTTTCTCGTCCAATAAACTGTCGGAACATTGAATTTAATATTACATGATAGGAATAATATTAGATGTATTATACTTTTTCTCTTGGGATTAGAATTTATTAAATATGTTTCTCATATATGCATGTATATATATATATGTATATATATTTTGATAATATGTTGATATATATACATGCATATATATATATATATATATATATATATATATATATATATTAGTGTATATTATTTATTATACAGAATGTACATATATACAGAATCTATCGAAAACAATTATCTATTATACTAATAAAGGATAATCTGCTTCTACGATCCTTATCATAAATTTTAGTTCTATCTTTTTTTTTTTTAACAATAATTAACAATTAAAAATTGTAGAAACGATGGTTCACACGGATATTGATCTTTCGAAGAGATTTCGATCACTTAAATTGAATTAA